TGTGGTAGGCCAATATAGAATATTCACATTGTGCCAAATCTCCTGTCTTCTGGAAGCTGATCTTTGGCCTCCCCAGATGGTTGTCTTCATTTTAGGTGGTCTGGAGATGTGCCAAATGTCCACTATACTTAATAAACCCTTATAGAAGGGAGGCTAACTCTTCAGATTCAATGAAATTTTCTTCCCACAGGGGCTCTTTTATTACTGAACTGGATACATCTCCCAAGGAACATGGCAAACTATACCTGAATATTTTTGCTGAATGTCTTTTTGCATCTCATTGCTGAATTTTGTATGTGGCAACATGCACAGATACATACATATACATATATTTATTTATACATCCATTCTTCCATTTATTTATTTATTCATTTGCTCATCTATCTATCTATCTATCTATCTATCTATCTATCTATCTATCTCTCTGTCTGTCTGTCTGTCTGTCTGTCTATTTATTGTCTGTATTATTGAATCAATCTCTTCAGATCTTGAACTTGCATTTAGAGCTAGGGTATACTTGGCCCAAGACACTGTGATGCTGAAACTTTAAGCAGGGCTTCAAAAGAATGGCAGACATTCAAAAGTCCAAGAAAGGGAGGGATTGTATTTTAGGTGTGGGGACATCATGACTAAAGGCATGGAGGTAGTAGATGACAAGGCACACTGGTGAGTTTGGGGCTCAAGGACAAAAGAAATAAGAGATCTGGGGTATCATATGTTGCCTACTTTCCTGCCTGCTCTATCCAGGCTGAGATGAGGCAGCAGAGCTGCACCTGCAGGGAGGAAAGGCATATGGGACAAGGCGCAGAGGGATGGGAGAAGGAAGCTGGCCTAGGGGAGAGGCCTGTTCACTACAGCTGCAAGGGATGATAAAAAGGATACAAACACAAATGGGAATCCACAGGCTGTGCAGGATGTTGGACTAATTTACATAAATATCGTTTGCAAAGAGTAATTAGTAGTTCATTTACATTCAGCGAAGGAGCAAATTGTATTTTTTCAGGGAACCAAGTATTTGCCCATATGTGCAAATCTGGTGCCCTGTAATTGTCCCCCGAAGAAGGAGCTGTTAATAGATCACTTTTTAGTGTCTGCTTGCTGTGTATAGACGTACAATTTCTCTCTTAAAAAAAGATAGCTCACACCTGGGCTGGGGGCTCATCATGTCCTCTCCTCAAAAGCAGGTGGGATTCTATTTGTATAACTGTTTCTGCTGTGAGTGCCCCTGAGGTCTCTGGGTTTGAGTCCTGACCTAGGAAGGTGGGGGCCTGAGGAGCAAGCATCTGGACTTCCTTCCTTAAGGGCTAGGAGAGCTACCATCACTCCTAAGGTAAAGCTATCCATTCTGAGTCTTGAACCTCTAGCCTGGTGCTGGGTCATACCTGCCTCTTAGTAGTGTTGTTTTGGCTCACACCAGAGAGTCTAGGGGATGAATGCAACTGAAAGTCGTGCCTGGTTCTGTCCATAACTTGCAAAATATCTCCTCTCTCTCAAGTTCCTCAATTATCATATTCTTCAACTTCAAAAGGTCTATGAATGAAGGAATCTTTCCTCCTCTAACCACACAGAGTCCAACTCCTAAATGCTATGGTAAATGGTCTTTATGTGTAGCTATCACCAAAAGAATACTGTTTGGTAGCCAACCTTTGTGCTAATTTCTTAGCTAATTTCTTTATAGAAATGAACTGTCAAACAGGGATATGACTCTTGCCCTTTTAACTTCCCTTTTGTATTTTTCACTGCTACATGAAACTGATTGGATGAATTCAAACCCCACCTTCTGAAAGAGGCCTTTCTATGTCCCTTCTCCACTACCCAACACCCTGCCAGTGCCTTTCATTTGAAATTACCTTTCATTTATATTGTATATAGCTTATATGTTAATTTTTTCACATGTTGTCTCCCTCATTAGAATGCATGCTCTCTGAGGACAGTGACTTTTTTTTTTATTGTAAATCCCACCTCCTTTTCGAAGTCTTCACAAACCTTTGCTCACTCTCTTCAGCCTTACTGTATCACTCTACTTGACCCTATCTTTGCTGGTCAAAATTCTACCTATTTTTTTCAGAGTCAGCTCAATGAATGTGCAAATGACAAACTGGGACACATTCAGGGTGATGCAGAGCATTGGATTTGGAGCTAAAGCACCTTGGTTCAAATCCTAGTCCTGACACTTCCCACTTATGAGACTCTGGACATATCCAGGCCCTCAGTTTCTTCAACTCTAAAATAAAGGAGCCTGTGACCTCGAGGCCACATGTGGCACTCTATGTCCTCAAGTATGACCCTTCGGATCTAAACTTCACAGAACAAATCCCCTTAAATAAAAGGATTTGTTCTGTAAAACTTGGACTCAGTCAAAAGGCTGCTCCCAAGGACCTAGAAGGCCACATGTGGCCTTGAGGTTGCAGGTTCCCCACCCCTGGACTAGATAATTCCCAAAGTCCATTCTAGCTTTAAATCCATAACTGGAGGGAGATCAAAATGGTATTAAGCCTACAGACTATGCTATCTAAGGGAAATGAGATGTACTTGAGAGAAGACTGGCAGGTGGGATTAGAGGGTGGGGAAGAACATAATCGTTATCTCTAAGTATCAGAAGGGCTGCTTCATGGAAGAAGGATTAAACTTGTTCTTCTTGGGCTAGGAACAATGGGTGGAAATTACAGAGACACAGGTTTGAGTTTGATATATGCAAAAGCTTCCTAACAGTTACAAAAACTAATTAAAGAGATCAAAGAAAGAGGAAAAGGAGCCATTTATACAAAAAATGAATGAATGAATTTTTCATTCAGCTGTAACAGCTCTTTTTATAGTAGCAAAAACTGTAAACTAAGGGGGTGCCCACCTCTTAGGGAATGACTAAACAAATTATGTTATATGAATATCATAAGAAATGCCAAAATGGACAGTTTCAGAGGAAACTAGGGAATTCTCTCTAAAAATGCATAAAAGAATGAATGAAGGGAACAGAACTAGGAGAACAATTTATGCAATGATACCATTATAATGAAAAAATAATTTGAAAAACTTTAGAACTCTCATCCATGTAATGCAATGCAAACCACGATTACAGGGGACTGAAGTTTAAGTACATTAATATACTTCCTGGGAGAGAGAGGTGATGGACCTAAAATGCAGAATAAGACACATTTTTTGACATGTCCAATGTGAAAATTTGCTTTGCTGGGCTATGCATCTTTGTTATGAAGGTTTTTTTAAAAAAGTGTTCAATGGGGGAAGGTGAGAGGGAGAGAAAATAAATGCTTGTAAAATAATTAAATTTTTTTAATTTTAAAAATGAGAGGACTCATCAGATTATATGATTTCTAAGGTTCCTGTCATATATAAATCCTAACATACTATATTTCTTTAATCCTTGAGTTGTCCAAAAGAGATGGATGGAGGCAGTGACCAGAAGAACATAATGAGATTTTAGAGGGTTTTTCTGCTCCATGATGACTTTTCCTAGATGCTATCTTAGGTCCCTTTTGGCTCAGAAAGTCTAGGTTTTGTGAGTGTTCTGAGAGCATGATTCTATGATTTTTTCCACCTCTCCTCATCAAACAATAGAAGATTCTTTTGAACATTGATTCTGTGATTAATCCTTAGCTATTTCTTGTCATGATGTGCTGTTACATATGCTAACTAGTGTGATGAAAATATGAACCATATTTAAACTTCTCAGTGTCAGCAACTAAACTTTACTAATCAAATGCAAAGCAAACATTAGTTTATATTATTTATTAGACAATATAAACATTAATTTTGTTAGGAACAAAGGACTAACCAGATTTCCTAGGGCTTCTGAGTAAGTGGTGTCCTGTGTCAGTATTCAGTGACAAAGTTTCCTCTCTCCTCAGCTGGAGGCTGTGTGTCTAAGCATGGATTTATAAGCCGAGGGGAAAATCATTATGAAGAAGGAGAAATTCCAGGTGTGAGAGAGACAAATTAACTGGTGTCATTAGAGGAGGCTGAAAAGAATGGGGAGGAAGCTGCAGGAAAAGGTGTTGGCTTTAGCAAGGAGAATTTTTGAGGCCAAAAGGAAGAAGAGAATGTGTGAGGACATTGAAGGATGGAGAATAAAGAGACATGAGAGTTTACAACAGATAGTCTTAATTTTCTCATTAAAGTTAGAGGTATGGCCATTTGCTATGAGAAAGAGGATAGGAGTTGCGTTGGGGGTTGGAGAAGAGAGATTTAAAACAGCAAGTGTGTTGAGTATGAAGGGAACTCATTCAGAAGTGAATAAAAAGATCACTGTGCTTCACAGGTCCTAGCTGAGGTTAAGTGGCATGAACTTATAATGGGTCCTGTCAATGATTTCCTGTCCCCTCCCCCCATTAGCATTCAATGGCTGAGGAGGAGTATCAGAGGAGTTGGATGGGAATAAGTACAAAGGGTTAAGTGATGGAAGGACTAAGGTCCAAGAGATTCAAGGTTAGGATTATTGAAGTAGCTGACCACATGGTTAAGCCTGGGTAAGAGGAAAATGAGTTTAGAACATGGTTGACTGACTGGATGGGCCTGAATGGGATAAGGGCAAAGGACAGGAGAAGATTAAGGAATAAGGAGAATTGGAAGGATAGGAGACTGGGGTCAGAGTGGGAAAATTCGAAATTCATAATCTTGCAGGTGTAATTTTGAGTTGATAGTGAGGTTTGAGATCTGGCTACCCTGGTTAGTTTTGAGGTAAAGTGGCAGTGGAGGTCATATTTTCATCCATCACCCCCATTACTTTTCCGCAAGTCTAATTTACTAGAATCTAATGATGATAAACTGGACCAAGAATTTGAACTTCCGACTTCACCTCCACCCCTAATCCTTCATCCCTAGATCCCTGACTTCCCACTTTCCCATTCTTCCACCACCACCAGGGCCAAAAGAGGTACTCCCTTCTAGGAGCTGTCCAGCATTCTGAAAACGCCGCAATACAAACGGAGTGCGCAAGCGCCTGCTGTATGGTGGGAAGCCAGCCAGAGGGGCCTGGGGGAGGAGGCCGTGGCCTGGACAAGATCCCACTGCGCATCCTCCTCGGCTCCCCCACCCCTAGTCTGCAGTCCCAGCCCCAGATTCTGCACCAGAGAACCTACCGCCCTCCTCTGCGGATTTCCAGGTCTTCACTTGCCCACTGCCCCACCTCCTCTTCTTCCTCTTCATTCTTCTCTCTTCCTCCCAGGTTTCCTCCACCCGCTCCTCCTGCATTTCCTTTTCTGTTTTCACCTCTTCCTCCCCGTCTTTGTTCTTTTTCACCTCCCTGTTTTCCCTTTCTTCTCCGTTCTTTCCTGTCTTTTTCTCTTGCCGCTCAGAATTCTCACATCCTTCTCTTTTCCTTTATCTCTTACCTTTCCCCCCATTTGTCTCCCCTTCTTTCTTTCCTGTTCATCTCTGTCCTCCACCTCTTCTCCCTTTCGGGGCTGTGCCCAGGCCTGACCATGGGGAAAAACAAATTAGTCTTCGCCCAGGGTTCCTGCTACTTCCTTGCCTTCCTGTTTAGCTTCATCGTGGTGGTGCCACTGACTGAGAACTGCCATGACTTCCACGGCCGCTGCTTGCTCTTCACTGAGGGCATGTGGCTGAGCACCAATCTGACCGTGCAGGAACATCAGCGCTTCACGGTGCAGGAGTGGGGCTCACCCGCTGCCTGCCACTACTCTCTGCTCGCTGCCCTGCTCTCCCTGTCTGTGGCCATCGGGTTAGCCTGGCGGTCGCTCTATCTCCTGTGCAAGGGATTCGACGAGTAAGTAGTGGCGGCCCCCACGCGGCCCCTAGCCCCAGCAAAACCTGCTTGGGGCTAAGAACTGTGTCCCTAGGGCGCAGCTCTCTCCTCTGGACCCCATCTACTCCCGTGCAAACAAGCCCCCTCACCTGAAAACAATCCTTGCCCAAATGTAAAAAGCCATCCTCTCCCATATCCTTCCGTGCAGTCCCTCCTCTAAACAACCTTCTTCCAATAGCTCCTCCGGAAAACATCCCCTTCCTGTGGAAACTGTTTCCACTCCCATGCAAAAATCATCGCTATGCACACAAGCTGCCCCCATCATTATCGAACTCTGTTCCTCTGCAATCCCGGCAAATAGACATCCTCTTGTGCAAACGCTATCCAATATCACTATCCAAAGATCTGACCCCTCTGTACTGCCCCTTCACCTCCCACCCCAGACAAACTTCCTTCTTCCCGGTGCAAAAATTACCTAGTCATCTCTCTCCAAGCTTGACTCTGGCCTAGAGGAGAACATTCCCTTTAGTACCATGGACACTTCTCCCATATTCTTATTTCTTGATGGAGAGAAGGAAAAACCGTGCAAAGTGAGGGAGGAAAGGGCCGGGCTGAGGCCTGAGTGAGAAGAGACAAAAGCCTTTCTTCCACCTCACTCTCCCACAAACAAATTTCTTTCATCCCGGATGGGAAAAATCAGTCATTAATCTAGGCAGTTGGGGTTTGAGTCACTGCAAATATTAGTCATGTGACCTCCAGGAAGTCATTTAACACCTCGGAGCCTCAGTTTCTCCATCTGCAAAATGGGAATAATACTGCTTACACCCTCCCTCCCCCCCACATGGATACAATGTGAGGAAAACACTTAGCAAGATCTCATAGTAGCTAGAATTTATGTAACCTTTTAAGGCTTGCAAGGCACTTTGCATTTATTTCATTTGATAAATGCAAAGTGCTTTGCATTTAGGTAGGTGCTATTATTATCCCCATTTTACACATGAAGAAGAGGTTAAGTGACTAGCCTAGGTCACACAGCTAAGAAGTGTCTGAGGTAAGATTTAAACTCAGATCTTCCTGACTTTAGGTCCTAATACCCTGTCCACTGTACCACTTAGCTATCCCATCTGCATCATTACAGATATCTGATATTTGGAATCCTCCAGATGTTTGGGCAGTATGTAGTCCAAATATTTGGATGGCAAATTTAATTTTTTTAACTTTCCTTACATATTTTGGAGGGTGGTAGACCTATGTTAGCTCTCAGCGATGGCATTCTTTCTGTTCTTTTCCCTCCCTAGATCTGATAAGGCTCTCTACTGTCTAGAAAGGTCCTTAGGCCCAAAGAGATGATTTCTAGTGATGTCAGGGAATCAGGGAAGCCCTACCAATTTCTCCCCTTTTCAAGGGGCTTATCTACAGAGGGGTTGCTTTCTTAAGATAAATTCTTTATCTTCAAGATAAACATAACTTAAGGACTCTATCTGTTATGGTGTGGACGAGTTGACACCTGTGTTGGTATAGGAATGATCTACCCTAATGATATCACTGGTCTTTGAAGTATATTATTATTGATATTAATACCTCTTGCATTCTCCTTATTATACAGTAAGTTCCTTGAGGGAAGGGAACTGGATCATTTTCATCTTCCGTATCCCCAGCTTTGATCAAAGGCCTTGAATATAGTAGGTGCTTAATAAATGCTTATTAATTTTGAATAAGTCAACTAGTATGCATTTTCTGAGCACTCACCATGTTCCTAGCCTGTGAGATCCTAATGTTTAATGAAGATGAGACTTATACATTAATACTGTAATATTTCAATAATTTAATGTATCCATGAGCTCATCAATATGGATACTCCTTCCCATGCAGTAGATTGCAATCCACCCATGCCTCTCATTCTGTGTCGTTTATGCTTAGGGTTTCTGATATATCTTCCATAAAGGATCTACCCAATCAACTGGAAATCTTCACTGCATTCAACATTTTGTGGTTACCAGTGCAGCATGTGGATTATCAATCTGTCATCTCTACCTATTGCTATAAGATAGTCCCACCTCCTTTTCTGATCATAATTTCCTGTATGAAATCTTCTTGGCTTCTTCTTGCTTCCAAATCATTGCTGGTAATAAGCCGACCCTACTAACATGCACTATGCTTTTCTCCATTGCCTCTGGGTCACTATAATTTTGATTCTTTGGAGATTGTGGCATTCTATGATTTACAAATGTACATACTGGAAGAATGTGGGTGTTAAAAAGCACTACTTTTGTGTGAGGGAGCAGTTTGAGCAATTTCTCATACAATCCAGGTTACCTTTTTCCCTTTTATTCAGTTCTCAGACAAGTTCATTGTTTCTCTGAAGTTTGAGCACAAGATACATATAATTCAATAAGCTTCTTGCTTATCTCACTGTGTGGCATTCTTCATCCATTTGGTTTTTCAACTGTGTGGATTGCTAGACCAGTAATTTTTTAGTAGCCATGGAGCTGCTTAAAGAGGCTCTGTAGTATTCTGGGGTTTGATGCAATTGTTAAAATATCATCTACAGATAGAAGCATCTGGAGGGTTCCATTATTTACCAAGACCCTCTTTTTCTTTTGGATTTTGCTCAGGGCATCTTTTATGACAGAAGTAAATAGTTTTGGTAAACATTTGTCTCTGTGTTTTATGCTTCACTTGCATTTGTAGCTAAATGATTACTGAATGAAGCTATAGCTCTGTAGCTGCGTCTTTCAATGTGTGATTTTAACATACACATAAGAGTCTCCTTCTTAAGGGGAGACATTTAAAGGCTACATTTTTGCTCTACAAAGTCAAATGCTTTCATGGAATCAGCAACTACAGCAAAATCTTATATTCCCTGTGTCTTTTAATCATGTGATCCAACATATAGTCTTCTACAGGAAACTTTTTTGGGGAAAAAGCCTGTTCTATTCTCATAGTCTCATTAAGGATGCTCTCAATGAATGTGTAAGTCATTCTTACAAAGAGTTTATAGAGATGACAATGTGGTCATATGATTTCCTAGTTATTGTTCACATTTCAATTTTCTTTATTTTGGCAATGCTATAGTTCACAAAAGTTTCCCTCTTTGAGACAACTTAAAAACAATCTCTTAATGCTTTCAAAATTGTGTTGCCTCCAGGATGGATTTTTTCTGTTAGCACTCAGCAGACAGCTACAGATGCTCTTTGTGATTTTATTTTCTGAGGTGCCGTTTTCACTTCTGTCCATTGGAGAGTCCAAATATGGTGGTCTCATTGTCAGTGATGATGAAAATAAATTACTTTAGAAACTCTGGTAGATTTGCTTCATTTTCATCTATTTGTTGTCCTCCTACTGGTTTAATTATAAACTCTCTCTGAATGATATGGCTTCAATGTCAATTTTTAATTTTTTTGCAGACTTGTCACCTCTCCCATTTGTTCTCACCACTGTTTGCTATTTTGTGAAGTGACATTGGTTGCAATCTTTGACTATCCTACTTTGTAACCTTTTACAAGTTAGTTTAAACTCTAAACTGATGTCAGTGACTTCCAGGTCTTTCTGCTTAGCAAGGATTTCACATATTGATTGGCTGAGGTATTTTTTTCTGGGCTCTTTGTTACAGTGATTGCCACATACTGATTTAACTTTTGTAAGAAATGGTGACAAAGTTAATGTCTTTTCACTTACCTTTTCATTTTTTTAGCCATTAAGAGCTGATTTGAGTAAGTCAGGTTTGAGCTGTTCTAATTGCCCATGCGTTCTTCTTCTTATCTTTATTTTTTTCTTCTAGTTTGGTACTTATTTTAACCATTGCTTTAACTAGTTGTTGGTCTGACTTCACATAGGCAATTAATTCATAAATGATTCGTAGATTGATAGGTAATTTTTTCCTTCTTCTTAACATAGTGTTTGGCACATAGAGCACATGTGATGCTGGTTTTATTTTTGATCATGTTTACGGTACTAGCCACAACTAGCACCTTCTGCAGATATTAACAATATACTGATATGAGGCTTCTGAGAGGTCTTTGACCTCTTTCATTTCTCAACCTTGACCTACTGCACTGCCAAAGGAGTCTGTGACCAAAAAAAGAGTTAAGAACCTAGTTCAACATTATCATTTTGTAGATGTGGAAACTGAGGCTTAGAGAGGATGTGACTTGACCAACATTGTACAGCTAGTAGGTAACCAATATGTGTTAGAACCAGAATGTAAATCCAGATAATCTCAAGTCTAAGACTGTCCATTCTGCCACACTTCCTGGAAACTGATAATGCTATTTATTATTAATAGATAGGAAATCAAAATATTGACACTGCTAATCCTAATGATTTATATTATTAGAATTATAACTTTCTTGATTATGATATTCACTGTCAATATCAGTAATATAACAATGTCATTAATATCATAATTGTTAATATATTAACATTGTTACAATGACATCAATGGTGTTATTTATTTATGTTACTTTCAAATACCAGTAGCATTTGTTATCTACATAATTATTAATGATAGACTATATTATAGGATGCTTTATAGTTTACAAAATATGTTGCATCATTACTTTTCATTTTTACTATATTCTTGTGGAGGAGGGCAGGGAAGAGAGACATGTGGAAATAAGTATAGAAAAAGACTTGTTTAGCTCACAGGGCTAGTTGGTTAGTGAATTGGCAAAGAATGTTTTCGAGACATAAGCCTATGTTAAGTGGTATGGCTCCAACAGTAAGATCTGTAAGAATTCAAGAAGTAGAGCAGGGGCCACACTACAGAAAATAGAATTATCAGACTAGGATTCGTTTTCTGGCTAGTCAATGGGGTTAAGTGACTTGCCCAGGGCCACACAGCTAGTAAGTGTTATGTGTCTGAGGCCGGATTTGAACTCAGGTCCTCCTGAATCCATGGCCAACGCTCTATCCACTGCACCACCTAGGTGCCCCTCAGACTAGGATTCTTGAAGGAAGTTTAGAACAAATTAGGGATTAAACTTAGAAGACTTTTACTCAGAAGATGAAGGATAGACTGAAAGGAACTAATATGTACAAATATAGTTGTAATCTCTCTTTTTTAGTGGCAAAGAATTGGAAACTGAGAGGGTTCCCATCATTGAGGAATGGGCAAACAAGCTGTGAATATGATAGAACACTATTGGCCTATAGGAAAAGATGAAGGGGCTAGTTTCAGAGAAACCTAGGAAGATTTGTATGAACCGATAAAGAGTGAAGTGAACAGAAGCAAAAGAACAATTTAAACAATCATAACAATATTGTAAAGACAAATACTTTTGAAAGACTCAGGAACTTTGTTCACCACAATGACCAGTTATAACTTCAGAAGACTCATGAAGAAACATTCTACCCATCTCCTGACAGAGAGATGATGAACTCAGAGTGTGGCTGAGAGTGTTTTTGGACACGGCCAATGTGGGAATTTGTTTTGTCTGATTATATATGTTTATAACAACTGTTTTGTTTTTCTTTCTTTCTTAATGTGTGTGTGTTAGGTGATGGAGAAGGGAGAGAAGGCAGATTTTTATTGAAAAAGTATATTTAATTAGCTTTATCAAAAGTCATGCTAGACTTTTAATGTCTTTTCTTTAAAAAAAAGGATTGCTACATATCTAAACGAGGTACAGATACTGACAGAATGTAACACTCTTGGACTCCATTGATTCCAAAAAAGATGACTCAGAAAACATCAACAGTTACTGATTTAGATGCCTACCTTCCTATCTATACAAAGTCTTTATGAGGGTCATCTATACATGAAAAAGGCTATCCTTGATAAGGATATTAGTAGGGAGGGAACAATAAGGTTTATTCAAATGATAGTCAACAAATGATGACATCTTTACCATCTCACAGTTGACTGAAAGATGTGGAGCGTATAAGTTTATGCTTATTTTTGTCGATTACAAAAGAATAAACATTTTAAAAAATAAAAGATCATTAAAAGATCATTTAAGAAGAGGAATAATTTACACATTGGATGATCAATCAGGATCCAAAAAAGATCTTCACAGGTTGGAATAATAGGCCAAACCTAATAAAAGAAGATGCACTTATTTTAATGCTTCAAGGAACTGTAATTTAATTTGCATATGTCCTAGCTCCCCAGGTACAGGTGAGATAGTTTAACAACTGTTAGATTTTCTGAAATCTATGACCAAAAATAAAGTCTGGGAATCATATTTCAAGAAATTATCCATGAAAACTGCTCAGATTTATGAGATCCAGAAAGCAAGCGGAAATAGGAAGACTTGACCTGATAGAAAATCAAAGTAAAAACTCTTAGGAATGTTATAGTCAAAATCCAGCACCTCTATGACAAAGGAAAAACACTATAATAAGAAGGAATGAAAAAAATTAAGTTTCATGGGATCATAGTCAAGATCAAATAAAACTTGGCAGCAACTATTGTAATGGAGAGAAAATCTTGTAATAGGATATTCCAGAAAGCAAGAAAAAAATGGGCTTACAACCAAGGGTGACACCTTAAAAGACTGAGTATAATCCTACATGGGTAAAAATGAATCTTTATTGGAATAGAGTATTTAAATATTTAGGATGAAAAAGCTAGAGCTGAGTAGAAATTTTGATTCTAAATATAGGAATCAAAAGAAACCCAGAAAGATATATTCACTTGGAATTAAGAGATGATTGAGTACCTACATTTTAATGGAGGAGAATAGAGAAGGGTCCTTTCAGAATCTTAATGCGTTCAAAAGTTGTATGTGCATTTCAGGAAGAAAACAGAGAAACTATGGGTGGTATTGTTCTGTTTCAATAATTTTAAGAAAATGAAAGAAAATGAAGGGATAAAAAGAAATGGGGGAGAAAGGGGTAGAATGCATTATGGGTGTGCACAAGAAGAAAATTACATAAACATAATGGGCGGGTGTAGTGAGCATCACATGAACTTTTATCTAAACTGAACAAAGAAGGGTTGAACGTGCATACACATAGAATTTGATATAGTATTAAACTCAACAGTGATATAGGCAAGGATAGGGAAGGGGGAGATTGAAGTTTAAGAGGGGAGAATTGGAGAGGTCTTTTTCACAAGCAAAACAAATGTCAACTTTGGAAGGTGAATCATCAAGGGGAGATTAAAAGGAAAGAAAGTGTAAGAACCAGTGATTGGAGTGTGGGTGAGGAGAATATAGGACTGGCAGTGGAATAGAAGCAGGTGGCTTCTATTATAGTTCACTAGGGCTTATCACATTTGTTCCCTTTTACCATCCTCTGTAAAGAGTGAGTCAGGTGCAAAGAGAAGAAATAGCATAAGAAAATATGGAGAGAAATGCACAATTAATAATCATAACTGTGAATATGAACAAGATGAATTCACTTGTAAAATGAAAGAGAAAATAATCCCACAATATGTTGTTTGCAAGAAATTTGAAACAAAGATTCACTAATGCATTACTATACCAAACATCACGTGTATATTTGATACAAAGATGCTATGGTTAAGTAAACTTTTTTTGTTGCCATGGTCTTCCAGTGTCTTCTCATTTTATCCCAGTTCCCAATCTGAACTTGGCATGACTCAGCTCTGGCCTGTAACACCATGCTTCTTACAGATAGCTTGGCAATATTCCATTATATTCATGTACCATAATGTATTTAGCCATTCTCCAATTTACTTTGTTTCTAGTTCTTTGCCACTGCAAAAAATACTCTATTTTGGTGTGTGTGGAGCCTTTCTTTTTATTATTGACCTTCTTGGGTTATATGGCTACTGACGAGCTAGAGATTTATGAATATGGTTAGCAGGTGTGAATATTTCATCACTGTCTTAAGATAGTTTCAAATTGCTCTCCAAATGGTTGGCTAATTTATTAGTCAAAAATGTGCCTGTTTTCTGTAACCCATCCAACATTAGTTATCTCCAGCTTTTGTCCTCTGTTAATTTGCTTGGTCTGAAGTCAAACTTAGAGTTGGTTTGTTTTGTATTTCTTGTATTTTTAGTAAGTTTGGAAACAATCTTTCATAAGATAGTCAATAGTTTGTAACTCTTCTTTTGAGAACTATTTGACCACTTATTCATAATGGGAGTATCAGCATTACCTCCAATTTAGTTGCTTAACAATCAACATACAAATTATGATGTGGATTGAAGTTGAGTAGGGCAGTTGGATATGTGGCAGAGCGGATAGAGTGCTGGGCTTGGAGTTAGGAAGATGAATCTTTCTGAGTTCAAATCAGGCCTCAGACACTTACTGCCCATGTGACCCTAGGCAAGTCACTTCACCTTGTTTGCCTCAGTTTCCTCATCTGCAAAATGAGCTGGAGAAGGAAATGACTCCAGTATCTTTGCCAAGAAAACCCTAATGGAGGTCATGAAGAATCAGACATGGCTGAAATGACTGAAAAGCAAAATGATGTTGAAGATATATAGTGTAAAGAACACTAACCATAAGGTCAAGAATCCTTGAAAATAATTGAAATGGCCTAATTTATCCTTTGCGGTCACCTCTGTTAGAATTCTTCCCCATGCCGTGGGTGTGAAAGGTATCTAATCTGGTTTTCTTTTGTTTTTTGAATGGTTTGACTTATAACAATAAGGTACTATAAGCATTTTAAACTTCTTGTGGCATGTAATTCACAAAATATTTGTCTAATCCTAATTTTTTTCAAATTACTTTACAGTTTTCCCAGCAGGTATTTTCAACTTCTTTGCTAAAGATTTCATGTTCTTTTTTAGACTTGGCTTAGCATCCCTACTAAATGAATGAGCCTGAGCAAGTCATTTACCTTTTCTAATCTTCAGTTTCTTTTTCTGAAAAAAATGATTAATAATCAATCAATCAATCAGCATTTATTCAGCAACTCCTTCGTGCCAGGTACTGTACTAAGCCTGGGGATACAAAAGAGGTTCCCTACCCTAATGGTTTATTGTGAAGGAAGAGTTTTGTAAGCCTTAGAAAATCATAGAAATGGGAGCTATCATTTATACAGTTAGGATTTCCTTCCCCGGGGTTAATGAGGATAGGGTCATGTGTGACTCTCTTCCAGCTTACCTGCTGTTGGTAATTTAATGTCCTGTTTAGTCATTTACAAAGTACAATGCATCCAAGTGAAGAGGGAATGAGACCTGCTTGGTCTGAATTAAACAGCTATATGGGGCTCTGAGGAGAGGCTGCCAGGATGGAGGGAAGTGAGTTCTGGATTCCCAGAGAGCTTGCAGATGCCATGAGTTGGCTATTTCTGAGCCTTATCTCTTTGCTCTCCTCTCTACAGGACCTGCCTTGAATCATTTGCAGCTTTGATGCTTAATATCTTCATCCTCTTTGTAGTCTTCATTGCCTGTACTATCATCAGTGTGGGATTTGACATGTGGTGTGATGCCATCACAGAGAAAGGCCGCATGCCCAACAGGTATGTGCATGTTCTGCTTTCTGTACCCTGGGGGAAAGGTGTGTGTTTGTGTGTGTGTGTGTGTGTGTGTATGTGTGTATGTGTGCATGTGTGTGTGTGTTTGAGGATGAAAAGGAAGTCAGTTCAAGGCAGCTCTATGTTCAAATAGATGAATGAATGAAAAAAAAAGCATCTTTCTAATTGCTTACTCTGATCCATGCATTGTGCTAAGCTCTGGGGATACAAATAGAAAAAGCAAGACAGCCTCTTCCCTCAAAGAACTCATACTCTAATTGGAAGAGACAACATATAAAAGAAAGTTCAGCTGCAGCATGGATGGAAAGGTCCAGAAGGATACAATGATGGACATTGTACATAGCGAAGTCCAGATGTTCTGGATTCTGTAAGGAGGCCAGATGATAGAACAGAGTGACTGCGGGCTGTAGAGACAGAGCAGGTGATAAAGTCTGGAGGATCTTACAAGGCAGTAGGAGGGCAGATGGCAAAGGGCTGGTGGTACTTCATTTCATCAGAAGGAATGGAGTTGTTAACTCCCATCTCTTCCAAGGTATGTGAGTGGTCATGCATCCTGGGCTAATGCAAAAGGACAGGGCATCCGAGTGTTGGCGGTCATTCTCACCCATCGGCAGTCCTGCGTGCATTCTGGGACATCTAAGGCTGGAAAAAGAAATGAAGGAAGACTTTAGGGGGAGGGATAAGGCATCCCCTTCAGTAGGAACATTAGTTCTACAGGCAAATGACATGAGTTACCTGGGTAATCCATTTTCTTACCTGTAAGATGAAGTGGCAAGGGGGTGCTGGGCAAGATGCTTCTCACAGTAGACAGATGTATGACCTGCTGTCTTCTTTCCAATTTAATTATGAAACATTTGTGGGACTCCTTTTGGTGGTCCTTGGAACTGGCAGTATCTGATTTCTTCCAAGTCCTGGGAGGAGACCACATTAGGTTTATTGGAAGAAGCAGTGTCAAAACCTGAGATTTTCTTTCTTTGAATTTACATTACTTTCTTCTCAGAGGTTTTTCTTGGCTGAAGGAAATCATTTGAAGTGGGACTGCTCCCTTGTGGGGCAGAAGGGAATTTTGGAAATAACTTTCTGTCCCTATATCTTTGCCTTTTTAGCTGCGAAGAGCTTCAGAATATGGACTTGGATTTGAACCCTGAAAACTCAGCCTTTTATGACCAGTTTTCTCTCGCCCAGGTAGGTATGACTGTGAGATTGGGTGAGGAGTGCTGTTAGCTGTTAAGGAGGGCTATTCTAGGGATGAGGGGGAGTCCTGCTGACTTGGCCCTTTGGCTCATTCCACAGACTTAGAAGGGAATTTAGAGAGTATTTAGTCCATTTCTGCCTGAGAAGGAACCTTCTCTACAATCTCTCTGATAAATGGATATTTAGACTCTGCTGGAATATAGCCATTTGTGGGGAGAAAATAGAGAAGGGGACAAGCATTTATTAAGCCTCTACTATATGCTAGGTACTGCGCTAATTGCTTTATAACTATTATCTCATTTGATACTCACAATCACCCTGGGAAGTAGGCGCTATTATTGTCCCCTTTTTATAGTTGAGGCAGACAGATGTTAAATGATATTCCCAGGGTCATATATCTAGTAAGTTCTGGAGGCTGGATTTGAACTCAGGTCTTCCTGAGGCTAGGTTCAGAGCTCTAGCCACTCCACAACTTAGCTGGGATTATGGATCATGGGTCTAGAACTAGAAGTGACTCTAGAGTCATTTAGTTTAATCCCACTATTTAGCACATAAGAAAACTGAGGTCCAGAGAAGTCATTATTAGCTAACTCTTTCCTGAGGTAGCCCATTCCACTTTTTAGACAGTTTTTTTTTTTTACCAAATTCTTCCTTGTAGTGAGTCAGTGTCTTCTTCCCTGTAACTTTCTCCTATTATTCTTAGCAGTGTCCCTGGAGCTGGGCAGAGCAAGCCAGAGCCTTCTTCCATTAGACAGCCCTTCAAACCTTTACAGGCTGGTAACCAATATAGAGAATAAGGAGAGAGAGACCTTAGCTCAGTTTGTTGGGAGGCCGTGAGATGCAGCAGGCTGAGACTAGTGACTTTGGAGTCAGAGAGTCTGCTTCATATCCTGCCTCTCTGATGCTTACTGTCTATGAGATCTTGGGCAAGTCATGACCTTCCTAGCCCTCAGTTTGCTCATCTGTGAAATGAGAAGCTTGGAGACTGCGCACTGGCCCTGAAGTCAGGAGGTCCTGGGCTCAAGACCAAGATCCTCTCCTGCTGCCTTGTTGTGTGCCCCTAAGCAATATCTTTGGTCCTTCTTTATCAGAATGGATGAAAACATGTTTACTGCCTACCTCATAGAGTTTTTAAGAGAAATACAGTTGCTTTCCAGCTGTATTCTACTCTTCATGACCTCGTTTGGGGTTTTCTTGGTAAACATATGGGAGTGATTTGGCATGTCCTTCTCCAGCTCATTTCACAGATGAGGAAACTGAGGCAAATAGGCAAATTTAAGTGACTTGTCCAGGGTCTCACAGCTAGTAAATGTCTGAGGCTGGATTTAAACTCAGATCTTCCTTCCTGCAGATCTAGAACTCTATCCACTTTTAAGAGGAAAGTGCTTTGCAAACCTCAAGCCCAGAGAATTTAAATGACTTCCAAAGATTATACAGGTAGTGAGTGGGTTTCTGCATCTGGATGAGACCTTAGGCATCTATCATCTAACCCAAATGCTTCATCTCACCCATCAGGAAACTAAGGCCCAGATAGTTTTGGGCTACACTTTCCCAAAGTCACACGAGCAGAGCTGGGATTTGAATTCAGGTCTTCTGACTCCTAATCCCATACCCTTTTCTCTCCCACATGGTAATTATTTCAATGATTGAGGAAATGTTTAAAAAAGAATTTTAAAAATAACAATTTTATTTATTTAAAATAAACTTTTTTCATAAAGCAAAAGCAAGAGAAATGTGAAATGAATTTTATGTAAATGATGGCTAAAATGGCTTTCGTTTATGTCCCCCACTCCTGAGCACAGCAGGCTCTTGGTCAGACTTTTCCATCTTGAAGTTCATTAAATTATTTCTTCTTCCTGATTGATCACTTCCCCAAATGTCTGAAAAACGAAAGAGATGCATTTATCTAAGCCACTGGAGGATGATTAACTTTCCACACTTCTTAGTACTGAGGCTAAGTCAATTTAGGTCAGCTAAGCCTTCACTTGGCAGGCTGGTGTTAGCAGAGAAAACTTTGGACTGGAAGTCAGACCTTTGTTCTGGTTCTGGCTTTGCTGCTCATGTTCTATGTGACATTGAGCAAGCTGATTGCCCTCTCTGAGTCTGTTTCTTCCTCTATAAAATGAGGAGATTGTCTGCTTGTCCTTCCTCAGGAAGGGGAAGTATGTGTAGGGTGTCAAAGACAACACTGTTCCAAGGGAATCACAGATTGTGCTTTGGTGTATCCTTGTCAAGGCAGGCATCAGAGGGGGCCCAGAGCTGCTAGTTATCAGTGAAGAAAGTATTTTCATAATTTCTCCTGGATTCAGAAACAAAGGGACATGTCCTTCCAAGGATTATAAGAATGAAAATCTAAGGGCTGTCCCCTGGTTGGGGGTAAGAGAATCAATCTATAAACATTTCTTAAGCTCCTATTATGTGCCAGGCATTGGGCTAAGTGCTGGGAATAAAAAAAAGGTGAAAGACAGTTACTGCCCTGAAAAAATTCACAATCTAATGGAGTAGTGGTTTGGGTTGGGGGAGGGCTCTTTGTTGAAAAACCCCTTTGCCCCTGAAGGTGAGATAGAACAATGGAACACAAGCTGGGAGGAAAACCTTCCCTTCTGGGCTCTGAGACCCATCAGGTCAGCCTGGGCTAGAGTTTGCTGGGGCTCAGGGAGGGACAGATGGAGATAGCTATGTGCTTTTTTTGATTCATGTTGGTTGCTAAGTTGGAAAATACTAATAAACAATGGTAACACTAGACAACAATAATCAGTCTGTCATGTAATGAAGAGCAGTTGAGTGGAAAAGTTCCAGGAAACCTGGAGTTATTTCCTGGCTCTACCAAATACTAGCCGTGTGATGCTGGGTAAATCAACTTAACCTCTCCGAGACTCTGCCTTCTCATATATCAAGGGAGGATAATCATGCTTGTACTACCTACCTCACAGGTTTATACTTTGTAAATCTTAAAGCACTATAGAAATAGTTATTTATTGTCATTTATTATTGTTATTATTACTATTATGTTTGAATCATCCTTTTTGACTTTTCAAAATGCTTCCCCATTCATTTGCTCACTTATTCCTCATAAACACCCCATGAGGTAAGCAGGGCAGGGATTACTGGCCTCATTTTTTGATGGGACAACTGGAGGATGGAGAAGATGTTACTGACCTGGGCCCACCTCCTCTGTGAAGTCCTCCCTGACTATCCTGACCTCCGGGGTTGTCACCCTTCCTGAATTCCTACTTGGCTGAAACTTGCAACTTGCTGCCTGATTATCTTTTGTTTACTGCTCTCTCAGATCATCAATCAGAGAATTTCCGAACAGATTTCTGAGAGCAGTTAGGCCAACACGTGCTTGATAATCCTTGACAAGTGGTTATTGAATTCAATTCAATAAACGTTTAGTAAGCACCAGTCACTACAGGCAAGACACTCTGCTAGCTACTAGATGTAGAGACAAAAAACAAACAGTCCCTGACCTCAGGGAGCTTACATCCTATCATCTGTCTCTGTTTGAGGGCTAATGAGATCGGAGATTTGCCCAGGGCAGAGGGACTCTGTTTTTCTCTTGCTTATGCCAGAAACCCAGATCACTGTAAGGCACCAAATCCACTCAACAGATGGACTGATCTCCCAACTGCCTACCTTCCCTCCTCTCTGCACCCCATCTTTATTAAGCGCTCTTCCCGCTACTCGAAACTACTGACTCCCAACCCCCAACCCCAGGGATGATGCTTTCCCTTGTACCCCCCTGAGACCCTTCCACTCTGTCCTTCTGTCCTAGTTTGGTCTCTGGGCCACCTGGCTGGCCTGGCTGGGCATCACCATCTTGGCCTTCCTGAAGGTTTACCACAATTACCGGCAGGAGGACCTGTTGGACAACCTCATCCACGAGAAGGAGCTGCTGCTGGGCCGAGCCTCGTCGAGGACCTTTTTTCAAGATGACAAGAGCGGCATGATCTAATTCCAGGGCCACCCTCCTTCCCTCCCTCTCCCTGCACTACCCTCCCTTGTTCCCATTTGTGCCCCAGGGGACCTGGCCTGGCCTTTCCCTGCTAGTGCTTGCTGAAGCAAAGTCGTTGCTAGTGTGAACTGAAATTAGGTCTGGTTTCAAGCCGCCTAGTTCTGTATCCATCGAAGGTCTGTGAGGCTGTCCTGGGTAGTCTTGAGAGACTCTTCTGTGTCCTCCTCATTCCCACTCTCAGTCGCTTCCCTTCCCTCCAGCCACTCTGTCATCTTCTCTGGCCCTGGCAGTGCCAGTTTGGCCCATCTTGGTGCCAATGTTTTAGCTACAGGGCAAACTCAGAAATTAAAGTGGCACTGGTGGCTGAATTTTGCTCACTTAACTGAGCTAATGTTGAACTTTGAGTGGCCTCTCAAGAAAGGGTTTGTGAAGTAAATTGATGAGCAAGATTGTCAGAGGCATGTTTAAACTACTTTCAGAAACAGATAATTTTAAAAGTACTTAAGCAAATCAGTTTCATTTCACTTATTTCCTTTCACATTGGCAGGACCAATGCAGTGGATGTTGCTAAGGCGATTTTTGCTTGAAAACTTTTTGATAGTAAATTTGTAATCACTTTTTGTGCTTGAGAATAATATAATCACCTCTTAAAATTACTTAATTTGAACTTCAATCCCATAGACATTTAATAAGCACTTATTTAGAAAGGCAGCATGGCATAGTACTGAATCAGAAGTCCGAAGTTTAAATCATGCCTCTGACAATAATTAGTCGTGTGACCCAGGGCAAGCCATTTAGTGTCTCTGAATCCTAAGCAACAGGTTACAAGTTCTCTACCAAGTTATGGATGTGCTCTGTGATGGTGGTGGTGGTGGTGGTGGGAGGGATGAGTTCCCACCCTCCAAAAAATCACAGATCCTTGAGGAATGTGTAAGACATAGGGCACAGACCCTGTTTTCAAGTAGTTTCTAACTTTTTTTGCTAGTTAATTCATTCAAAAAATATTTCTTGAGCACCTATTAAGGAATAGGTCTGAATTAGTAAGCTTATATTCTGATTATTAGCTGTCTAGTCCAATTACCTAATTTAAAGCTTACCTTATTTGGTGTTTAAAATTGCTTTGTAATTTGCCAAGTGGACCCAAGTCATTTTTGCTGCAACTATCCACCCAGCACCTCAAGGGCAATTTTCATTACTAAATATAAGTTGTTCAGTACCAAGAGGCAGCATGGTATGGTACATAAAACATTAGCCTTGAACTCACAATGACCTGGGTTCAGATCTTGCTTTAAACACTTGAGGGTGACACTGGAAAAGTCACTTAACCCATCTGGGTCTCACTTGCCTCATTTGTGAGGTGTGGGGTCTGGACTTGATGACCTCTAAGGCCCCCTTTGGCTCTAAACCCATGATCCTTTGAACAATGGGGAATATCTCTTGTTTCAAGTGATAAATAACTCCTATCTCCTTACCCTCTGTGAGCATCACTTGACCAACCCAGCAAACAGCTCCATTTAGGAAGTGAGTTCTCTTTGGGGTTGACATCTTCTCCAGTCCGTGGACCTAGGTCTTGCCTTAGACTCAGATAAAAGGAACCATTGAGGCTATTTGAAATAACAGACTATCAACTTGGAGTCAGGAAACCTGGGTTCCAATCTGTTCCTTATTTGCCTGTGACCTTGGGTAAATCATCCCTTCCTCTAAGCCTCAGTTTCTTCCTCCATAAAATTAACAGACCCTAGCCCCTCCCCAACCTTATCATCACCAATGTTCCCTTTTCCTTTAGTTGCTCCCTTTAATTGCCCAGGATTGCTGCTCCAATTCTCCAAGTAGAAACATCTGGATAATGGTCATCATGAAGGCCCAGCATCCCTGTGTTTGGCATCATGCAGGCAAAACATCTGGATGTATGGCAGGCATTTGATTTAATGTTCATATGCTTTGGTATTTCCTAGCCAGCAAAAGACTCCCAGTGGATACCACAGTAACCCTTTCTTTGGGCTATTGAATTTGCTTTCCTTTGACAGCATTAGAAATTCAGGAAGTTTCCCAACTGGGTGAGTGATTATATCTTCCAGTATCAGACAAGTCCCTTATTCTCTCTGTTTTCTCATATATAAAATGAGAAGTCGCACTCACTGATCTCTCAGATCCCTTCTCATTCTAAATCCTAGAAGTCTTTGGCTTTGTGACTGCCATAGGGTCTGGGGTCTTAGAGTAGCCCCAAACCCTAGAGCAGCAGGCCCTGTAGCCCCCTGTCTTAGAGTAGGCTTCATCTAAATCTAATAACAGAAGATAATAGTTGTGCAGAAGTATCTCTGATCCAAATGAGAGCCACTGGAACAGGGAGGGGCCCATAGACCTGCTTTGATGGCTTCAATCTTTTTCATTTCCAAGAATTTCCAGGCTCCTAAAAAACTCAGAAATGTTACCCAGGCTTTTATTCTATGTTTCTTGGGGGGATGTCGAAATGACTACAGCAACAGCAACAGCAAGAATAAATCCCCCTTCTATGGCATTGTAAAGTTTGCAAAGTTCATTCTCCACAAGGATCCTATGACAGTGATGTCTAGGGTCCTTCCAGCCCCAAAGCCTACAGTCCCTTCTCTCTACCTTAAAGACGTGGAAACAGATTCAGAGAGGGGTAATGCCTCATCCCAGATCACACAGCCAATTAAAAAAACAAGATATTATTAAGCACCTGGTCAGGCCCCATCTGACATACTGTGTTCAATTCTGGGTAATACAGTGTAGGAAGGAGATTGATAATGTGGCATGCTTTGTTGATAGAACATAGACTTGTATTCAGGATAGACCTCAGTTCAAATCTGGCCCCAGATGCTTACTAGGTGTGTGACTTTGGGCAAATCCCTTAACCTCTGTCTGCCTCTGTTTCCTCATCTGTAAAATAGGGATGACAACAGCATTATCTCACAGGGTTGTTGTATGGATCAAATGAGACAGTATTTGTAAAGCATTTTGTGAACCTTAAATTGTTATATAGATACTAATTATTATTATTGTTATTGTTATTATTTATCCTCCTGAGAAAGGCAGTCAGGATGGTAAAGACTTTTTTGTCCATGTCAGATGAAGAAATGAGGGATATTTAGCATGGAAAAGAGAAGATTCAGTGCTGTGGCATGTGAGGGATGAAATGACTAAGGAAACAAAGCATTTTGATTTATTAAGCAACGCATGACAATTGTTCAACAAACTGGGACTAGGCTCCCTCTGTTTAGGGCTGCACCCTGAATATAGGGTCAGACAGACTTTTATACATTAAAAACAATTAATCAAATAAGACCAATTAATTACAAGGAACAATATAATATTAAGTAACCTGATTTCTAATTGGATAAAAGATTAGGGTCTTTCCAAATTGGGAGGGAGAGAGTGAACAGGTACAATTCCCCGAATTCAGAAAAAAGAGGTGTTTCACCTCCCCTAAGTGTCTGTAAACAACCAAAAGGAACATGGAAACAATATCTGATTGACCAGTATGGGGCCAGTTTTCAGATAACACATATAGGTAGCTTGAGATGTACTTTGTGAGAAAACTCCTTGCATCAACCCTTGGATTTGCCTGGGTTTCTGGATAGCCTAACCTTGGTTAAGGGTTTCTAAGCAACAGGTAGAAGTGGTCCAGTTTACCATAGCTGGGTTCAGGTCTTGCTTTAAACACTTGAGTGTGACACTGGAAAAGTCACTTATCCCATCTGGGTCTCAGACATGCAGAGCTGGCTTCAAACAGAGCAATAAGGTTTTCTCCCAAATTCCGCAGTTGAATAAAGTTCTCTCACAAGACAGAAATTGGACTAGAGCCATGATTGAGTAGAAAGAGAACTGAGCCAGCCCCAGAACTGAGTCACAAGATGGAGTGAGTGTGGTTCACTCAGTTTCCACAATTAATGACTTGCTGTCCTAATCCCCTCAATTCCCTTGGTGGGGACATGATATTTGTCTACAAATATCTGAAGGAATGTCACGTGGAAGAAACGTCAGACTTGTGTTTGGCCCCAAAGGGCAGATCTAGGAACAAATGAGGGAAGGTAGAAAGAGGTCAGTTTGGGCTTTGATGTTGGGAAGAGCTTCCTAACAATTAGGACTGTCCCAAACTGGAATGAGACACTTTGAAGGATAGTGGGTTCTGGAGGAACATTTGTTGGGCATGTTGTAGTAGAAAGTCTGTTTTGGATGTGGGTTGGGTATGGCTTTGGATATGACTAAAGCCCCTCCCAACTCATAAAATTTCAATAATTTGGTTACTCCAAAGCTGGATGTCCATTTGTTAGCTGGAAGAAGGAGCTCTTATTTGGAGAACAAATCTTAGATTCTGTGATTTCATGATATTTGGGACCCACTTTAGTCCTTCAGTGCAGAAAGCAGGTTTTCATACATAATAGTTCCTAAGGATTTCTCCAGCTCAATCTGAGAGATTGTGGGCTAGTCTATAAACTTCACAATGGCAAGGATTGTGCCTTATTCACAATAACTACTTTCATTTTTGTAGTCTTTCAAGGGTTGTAAATTGCTTTCCCATTACAGTCCTAAGAAAGTCAATAGCTCAAGTGTTATTGACTCCATTTTATAGATGAGAAGATTGAGGCTCAGAAAGATTTGCTCAAGGTTGCACAACTATGAATGGTAGGAACCAGGGTTTAAACCCAGGTATCCTGAGTTCAAGTCTAGCCTTGACTACTACTACCCTCTGCTGTGTCTGTATTACCATACAGATTATATTGATTTTAGATTTAGAGCCAAAAGGGAGCCCAGAAATCATGGAGCCCAAGCACCTCATTTTATAGATGAGGAAACTGAGGCCCAGAAGGTCACAAAGTATTTGAATGCAGGGCTTCCAAACTCCAAATCTAATGCTTTCCCCAATACGTCATGTTGCCCCATCTGACATTGATTCAGCTATTTTGTGGTATGGAAGTGTTCTAGACTGCATACAATTATGACCTTAATATACTGTTGCCAGACCTTGAAGGTCCTTTTGATAACCAAAAATGCTCTTTTCTATCTGGGAGGCAGCTATGGTACATGTGGAACTTTGGATTTGGAGGAAATGGCCCAAGTTCAAACCCAGGCTCTGTTACCAATACGTTGTGGGATTTGGTCAAGTCATTTAAATTCTCTGAGCCTCAGTGTCTCCATTTGTTAAATGGGAACATTGACACTTGCTCTGCCTAACAGAGTTGTTAAATGAAATGGCTCTTAACCTTTCCAGACTCCCTTTCATATAAAATATCTGTAAAAAAATCTGTATATGAGAGAAGTAGACCAGATGACATCTGAGGTCTCTCCTAACTCCACATTTAGGATCTAAGAACATAGGAAGTTGCCTCTGTACTGCATCAGCTGGAAGGAGAGTTTTCATGAGAGTGAAGGAAGGTCACATAAATGATTTTCACTGAGTGACCTTAAGCTCCATCAATAAAGTACCAGATTTAGAGTTTGAAGAGACCATAGAGATCACGTACTCTAACCCTTTTTGCCAAAAGAGGAAATAGGGGCTGTCACTTGTATAGGTTCACACAGGTAGAAAATAGCAATGATGGGATGTAATCAGTTTCCCTGCGAAGACTGATCCCTTTTCAAAGAAGAATAATTCATTTCTAGAGGCGAGAGATTATTGCTCCGAGATGGAAGATGAATTCCAGATCTCTAAGAGATCAAGTCAATCAAAGAGAGAGGAGATGGAAAGGCTCCCACCCTCCCTACTCCTCCAAAAAGCAAGGAGTCGAAACAAGACCTGGGCATTTCCATGGCTGTGTGTGAGCCAAGAGACAGATGAAATTCTGGGCTTTTTGCGTCATGAGAGAGCCTCTGGCAAAAGCCTTCTCAATGGACCAAACAAGATTGTGGTCTGGAATATGACTCTTGTCCATTTCTTTTCTTTTCTTTTTTCTCCTTCATTTGATATCTACTGAGTGATGCCCCCAGAGCTTTAGACCTGGGACCTGAGGGACCATAGAGTCCAACCTTCCCACTTTACAGAGGGGTAAACTGAGACCCAGAGAGGCGAAGGGGCTAACTTAAGGTCACACAGCTAGTAAGTGGAAGAGCTTTGATTCCAATGCAGGTTTTCTGACTTCAAGTCCATTTTGCCCAATCTTTTTTTTTTTTTAAATATCATTTGAATATGCATTGTTAAAAACACTTTCACCTCTAAGTTCTTACTTGGAGTAAGGCAGTGTGGTGTAGTAGTTACATAGCTGACCTTGGAGTCAGGGAGAGCTGGGTTCAAGTTCTGTTTTGGACATGTGCTTTCTGTGTGATGCCAGGGAAGTCCCTTAAAGCCCAGGTTCCTTGCTAAGACTATTGGTTGCAGGTCAGGTACTGAGCTGCCTGGGTAGAGGGCGCTCCTCATGTGGAGCTCCTGACATCAAGGAACTGACAGATTCCTCTCCCTTCTCATTAGTTTCTTTGCATGAGGTTTTGGGGCCCAGGCTCAAGCAGCCTGAGCCCCAAGGAGAGATTTCGTGTGTGGGCTGTTTGTTCACCCTCTGTTTTGCTGCCTCCTAGATGGACAGTTACATCTGTTGCTGATCCCCTGATGTTTTCTTCCTGCTGCTTGTATGAAGTGGAATTTTCCTCAGTTAAGGGTGACCGCTTCCTTTGCCCACCCTTGACCAGCATCATGACTCCCTCTTCTTTCTGCTTATCTCCCTTCAATGTGTCTCAGACTTGTTTCCGTAACCTTTCTCAATAAAGTTGTCTTTAGCATGGTGTCTGCTGTGCTTTTGTGCTTTACCCCTTTCCTTTTTATCCCATGCCCCTTGACACCTCTCGTTTGGGTCAGGCGGGCTCAAATCTCTGCCACTGATGAAACCGTGGCTTTCCAAAAGCTGTTGGAGAGACCGGGGAAGAGTCGGGCTTCTCAGAGCATCATGGAGACTGGTGCAGATCAACCTACCATTGCCTTGGCATGAGAAAGAATGGATTGGGGTCAAGTGTCACTTGACTGATGCTCTCACTCAGTTCAAATCATGGAATTTAAGCATAGGGAGGGTTAGAAATGAGAGTAGTTTATAGGTACAAGGGACTATAGAAGTCATCTGGTCCAAAGCCCTTATTTTATAAATGCAGAAGCTGAGACTCAGAAAGATTAGGTGACTCACCCGAAGTCACATAGCAGTTCGGCATAGCAGAAAGAGTAGTAGGTCTGGAGAGTAAGAAGAAAGGTTTAAATCCTAGCTCCAACTCTTGTGGGATAACAGATAAGTCACTTCTATTGCCTGTGCCTCAGTTTCCTCATCTGTAAAATGAGAGAGTTGGATTGTAATGATTGCCAAGGGCTTTTCCAGCTCTGATTTTCTTTATCCCAATGCCCCTTTCAGCCCTGACACTCCATGTTCTATGTTCTGAAAGCTCTGATCATCTTTTCCAGTAGATACCTGAAAGTAAAATTTCTTTTTCACCCATGGTAAGTTCATAGCACACACAGATTCTTTTACTTTTTCTGTCTTTAGGGCAAGGGGGCATGTTCCCAATAGGTTTTTGGATGGGGAAATTATGTGATAGATACATGACACAGGGGAATTTTTAATAAGGGAACATAACAATGCCAGGGAGTATGTGGAGCTAGGTCCAATTAAAATGTAACAAACATTTATTAACTGTCCACTGTGTACCCTAGGATAGAATTACATAGTTTAAATAAGACATAGTCCTACCATCATTGGAGCTCACATTCTAGTAGAGGAGAGAGATAACCAAATAATTATGATAATAGGTTGCTGGAACTGCACTTTTTTTCTTTCCATGTATCATCTCTACTCCACATTTCATAGGAAGGTAGCTGTGATTGTGTGACTTTTTCCCTCCTGAAACATCAGGAGAGGGAACTTGGAGGAAGAAGAAGCTGGGGAGTCTACTTGGCTTTTAAGATCTAATGTGGGTGTGGGGAAAAGTGTGGTACTTCTGAAGGGGAACTCTTGGAAGCTGGATACTTCCCTGCAAGGTAAGACAGTCACATTCTAGGACAAAGGGGAAGCCTAGAATGGGTTCCTTTGACATACTGCATGTCAGAAATGGACTGAGACCAAAGGAGTTATGGGAGTATTGTACATCCCTGTCTGAAAACTTCTGACCACTGAAGAGTGACATCCTACCCCTGGATTTACCAGCTGAATGCAATCAGGGCTGGACCAGAAGGAGTTTTTCACAGAGAAAGCTGACACTACCTGCTTGGAACTGAGGGGAGCTGTAGGCAGAGTGGCATGGGTGATATGATATGACGCTAACCTAGTAGAAGAAGTCCAGGAGAGATTCCATGGGAAGATGTGCTGGAGGTCCACAAGGCAGAGTTTTGGTGGGACCTCTGCACATTGGGTGCTATTAGTGATTGAATTAATATAGCCTTCAAAGAGACATACAGAATCTTTGTGGGCTTTATTTGTTCTCATTGACTCATTATAAAATTAATCCATTCTTTGGGCCTTGTGAATCAAATGGTAATGACAACATACTATTGTTATATAGGAAAGTCCCAGATTACCTGTGTGGGGGAAATGAGTCTGAGGATTGAGATTTCCCTTAAAAGGTACCCAGCCCTTTGTGCCAGGAGGGAAACTCTGCCTTCAGCGCTGCATGTACATAACACATATGTACACATATGTGATATATACATCCATATATGTACACACATATATGATAAGTGCTGTGGGAGGTCCAGAGGGAAGGTCATCACTGATATTGGAGATCACTGAGTCTGCTTTCCTTCTTAACTGCAAGATGATGCTCCAGCATCTACCAGCCTTGAATGGACTCTATTGAATGAGCTTCCCTCTATGTGCTGAGGTACCTGGTTACTCAATGCCATCATCTTTCCCTTGGAACAAATGGTGGGAGTGAAGTCAGTTGAGAGAATCAGAAAGACATCTCTACCTCTCTATGCTGGACTAGGAACACAGCTCCAATCGAGTCATGGAACATTAGAGCTGGAAGGGGCCCTTATCAACCCCCTTCAGTTTATAGATGGGGCCTCTGAGTCATTGAGGGTCCTCTCCTTTCTGAAAGACTGTTGAATACTCACCTCCTCTAGGAAGCCTCACCAGATTTACCATACCTGATTGGGATCACTTGACATAACACCCAGCATTTATGTCCAGAGTTTAATCTTTCACTTGTATCTTCATCTCCCCTGTCAATCTGAGAGCTAAGATACTCGGCGTTGAGGACTATCTCTCTGCCTCTCTCTGTCTCTGTCTCTGTCTCCAGTACAAATGATCACTGAGTTTGTGGGCAGATTTCCCTCCAGACAGGGGGCTCCTTGAGTGCAGGGATCCTATTCGCTGCCTCCACATGGCTAGTAGGTGTCTGGATTTTGGAGTAACTTAAGTCATTACCGCAAACCCACACAGATAGCCAGGAACACTCCAAACTTAGTCCAAGGATGATAGGAAGGGAGACATCATAGCATCCCCAACACAGCAGGCTCTTGTCACCCCCACCCAGCTCTCTACCCCTCTGCTCTCTGCTCACCACCATGGATTTGCTGTGCAGACAATGTATGAAAGACCTTCTGGAAGGTCTAGGGGATGCTTCAAAAAATCAGAGATGATTAAAGCTAGAAAGTCTTAAGAGTTGCTCTCACCCAATTCCCTCATTTTTTAGAGGAGGAAACTGGGGCTGGTGGAAGTTAAGTAATATGCTTAAGGCCATGTGGTTAGGAGTTGATAGTCAGAACCTAAATTTGAGCCTTCTGACTGCAAGGCCAGGGCTTACCACAAGAAAGGTGGGATCTGCACTATCCATCTGTGGGGAGCACCAGGCAGAATCGAACTTGTGAGCTTACAACATGAAAGTCCTCCTTCTGGCCTTTATTGGGCTCTTTTGTGGGGAATATATTTTAGGGATATATTGTGGGGAGTACCAGGGAAGGAGACACACCCCCGTGTTATTCCTTTCATCCATTCATTTATTCATTCATTCAAAACCATTCATCATGCAACTTTTGTCTAGGGCCATTTGTTAAATTCTGGATGAGATAGAAAAGTAAGTGACAGGCACTCTGTCCTTCAGGAGCTCCTATCCTGGAAACCGATGATGTGTTATTACAAGCAGGAAGATGAGCAGGAAGGCAGCAGCTAGTGTCAGTTTCTTTACTGAGCAAAGCTGTCTTTTTCTCCCATTAGGGAGAAGGCAGCTCAAATCTCTTGAGTCAGTGTTTCCTAAATTGGCCTTTATACAGTAGTTGTAAAGCTAATTATATTGAAAGGAGAGCAATTGACCTCTTGCATACTTTGGGCATGCTGGATACTGCTGGGTGTCTTTCCTTGTGTTTCATATTTGTGCCGCTCAGAGTTATATCTTACAGAGTCATTGTGAAAAAATGTGCTTTATAAACCATAAAGTGATGAATAAAGATATTGTTGTTGCTCTTCTTCCCCTCCTCTTCCTCTTCCTCCTCTAAAAGCCTCATGCATTGGGCTGGACTTAGGGTTGACTGAAATCCAGGATACCACAAAAGGACCAGTAAGGATGACTCTATGTCCCAAGGTCTGTGAAGATTTCATCTTTGACCATACTTTCTGGTTCTGTATTCCATTTCCTATTCTCCTGTGCTTATCTAGCTTGGAGTTTGTGATTATAGGGCCCCGGCAAGATAAGACATGGGCAACAATAACCAGAATGAAAGGCAGAATGAGATGACTTAAGAGGGGGACAGAGTGCTATGAAAAGACCAAGGAAGGAATGATCAGAGGTGAGGAAAGTCTTCCTGGATATAAATCTAACATGAAACAATCAAGGATGATATAATGCCATATGTGACCCAGGTCTAAACTGTGTAGTGCTTCAGGGATTCAGAGGAGAAATAAATCACCATGAAGTGGGATAGTAGAAGCTACATCTCATAAGGTTCTTGCCACAAAGGCAAGGCTAGTTTTTCCCTAAGGGGTAATGAAAGCATCCTTTAGACAGTATTGCTCCAGGGGACTGAGACTTGACCTGTTGACATAGCTTCATGGTTGCCTAAATACAAAAGCCCAGTGCATGAGGACTCAGAGGCTCCATAGGCTTGAGACCCATTTCTGATCCAGTGTTTACTTCCCACCAAACTTTCCATTTCTTGTTTAATCATGAACTCTTCCTCTATCCATAGATCTCACAGGTAATTTCTTCCATGCTCAACTAATTTGCCTATGATGTCACCTATTATATCTACATCATGTACCCATTTGGAGGTTATCTTGTTATATAGTGTTATATATTGGTCTATGCCCAGTTTCTACAAGACTACTTTCCAGTTTTTCTAGCAGTTTTAGTCAAAGAAAGAGTTCTTGCCCCAATAGCTGTGATCTTTGCATTTACCAAATATTATGTTACTGCGCTGATTTGTTTCTATTTGTTATATACCTAATCTGTTCGTTGATCAACCACTCTATTTCTTATCCAGTACCAAACCGTTTTGATGATTACAGATTTGTAGTATAGTTTAAGATCTGGTTCCAGTAATCCCCCTTGCTCTCTATTTTTTTTTTCATTGATTCCATTGAAATTCTTGACCTTTTGTTCCTCCAGATGAATTTTTTATTATTCTTCCTAATGCAACATAGTAGTTCTTTGATAGTTTGATTGGTATGGCACTGAATAAGTAAATAAATTTATATAGTATTGTCATTTTTATCATATTGGCTCAGTCTACTCATGAGCAATTAATATTTCCTCAATTATTAAGATCTATCATTATTTGTGGGGGAAAAAATGTTTGGGAATTGTTTTCATATAGTTCCTATGTGTGTGTTGGCTAGCAGACTGCCAAGTATTTTAAAGTGTTTATAATTATTTTCAATGGAATTTCATTTTTAGATTAACATTTAATGAAAGGAGTTTTACTTAGCAATAACATGGAAAGGGTATTCAGCAAAGATACAGCATTAATTCAGTTGAGTGCAGGCTCCTGACTGCCTTCCCATTTGCCATAACATCAACCAAGATCAGAAGCATGTGCCATGTCTGAAGAGCCCTGGATAGCTCATGCACTAGGCTTTTGTAGTCAGGCAGACAAGAAGCTATGCCAACAGTTCAAGCCCTAGAGGGGGCTGAAAGTCAGCAACTGCTCCCTAACAAGGCATCAGTCCCTCTCCCCTCAACATTGCCTGTGAGCAAAAATATAAAGGAAGAGTCCAGACTTCCAGCCATTCTTTTCTAAGATGACCATTATATTGTGGCTGTGCAGCTGAGTGTGTTGGAAGGAAGGAGAGCAAGAGAGCCCAGTAAGCCATAATTACAGCAAAGCAGCACAGTAAGGTGGAATCTGATTACCTGGGTGATGTGACTGTTCCCCCTGGCTGCATAACCCATGAAAATCTGGTACATTATAGACTTGGAAGGAATCTCAGACCAACCCATACCTGACTACATAAAGTGTAAAAGTTTTTGCACAAACAAAACCAATGCACCTAAAATTAGAAGACAAGCAAGGAATTGCAAAAAAGTCTGTGCATCAAATTTCTCTGATAAGAGTTTTATTTATCGGATATAGGGAACTTAGACAAATTAGAAGAATAAGAGTAATCCCTCAATTGACAAATGGGCAAGGGATATGAACAGGCAGTTTCCAGAGGAAGAAATTAAAGCCATCAATAGTCATATGAAAAAAAAATTATCCTAATCATTAATAGAGACATGCAAATTAAAACAACTGTGAGGTACTACCTCATACCCATTAGACTGAAGAAGACAAAACAAGAAAATGACAAATGCTGGTGGAAACATGGGAAAATAGGTACACTAATTCAATGTTGCTAGAACTATGAACTAATCCAACCATTCTGGAAAACAATTTGGAACTGTGCTCCAAATGCTATTAAACTGTGCATACCCTTTGACCTAGAAATGCTACTTTACACCAAAGAGATGAGAGAAAAAGGAAAAGGACACATATGTAGAAAAATATTTATAGCAGCTTTTTGTCATGGCAAAGAATTGGAAATTGAAGGGACTCTCATTAATTGGGGAATGACTGAACAATTTATGGTATATAAGTGTGATGGAATACTACTGTGCTGTAAGAAATAATGAAGGAAAGGGCTTCAGAAAGACTTGAGAAAACATATATGAACTGATACAAAGTAAGGAGAACAATTTACCCAGTAATGGCAATAAGGTGAAGACAATCAACTGTGAAAGAATTAGTAACTCTGACCCACCACAATTCCAAATCACTCGTTATAAAAAATGCCATTCACCTCCAGATAGAGAACTAATGGATTCAGAGTGCAGACTGAGGTATATTTTTTCCCTCTCTCTTTTTTCTCTCTCCCTGCCCCGAACATGGCTAATGTGGAAATTTGGCTTGCATGAATTCATATTTGTAATGGGTTTTGTATTTCTTGCCTTTTCAATGAGTGAGGGAGGGAGTGGGGGGAGGAGAGAATCTGGAACTGAAAATAAAGTAAAATTGAATTAAAAAATAAATGTTACACTCACTAGCTGTGTGACTTTAGGTAAGTCACTTAACCCCAATTGCCTCACCAAAAAAAAAATGTTAGATGGTTTATGAGTGTCTCACTTAATGTTGTCTCACAACTTAATTTGGCATTGGGGTCCCATGATATGTTTCCCATGCATTATCCCATAAGATCGTTTACAATAAACCTATGAAGTACATAGCTCCATTAACATTACCCCATTTTTGTAGATGAGAACATTGAGGCTCAGAGAATTTTAATGACTTATGCAAAGTCACATGGGCAGTAAATTAGTGGAAGAATTGTGATTTAAACCCAGATTGCCCAACTTCAAGTCCAATTACACTAGATGATGAATTCTTTGTCTGTGGCAACCCATGAAGCAAACAAAAATACAAAATGACTCGGTTCAGTAAGATTCCCTTTTCATTTCTTCAGTAAGTAATGGAAAAAAGGGCAGATGATCCTATTAATCATTGAGTTCTTAGACTTTCCATAAAGATTTTTTAAAGGGCAGATGATTCTATTTTCGGGGGCAATTGGGGTTAAGTGACAGGGTCACATAGCTAGCAAGTATCTGAAGCTGGATTTGAGCTTAGATCTCCTGACTCCAGGGGCAATACTCCATCCACTGCCCAACCTAGCTGCCTTGGCAGATGATTCTATTAATCATAGAGTTCTTAGATTTTCTATAAATATTATTTTTTAAAGTGTCCTTTATTTTATACCTCTTAACGTCTATCCTCTTACCTTCTTCCCATGCACTTGGTATTAGAGAAAAACCTTTAAGCAAAGCCAACAAAGTAACTGCATCTGACTGTGTATAGCATATTCCACGTTCGTAAGAAGCTCTCTCCACCCCTCTCCCTCCAAGATCATATAAATATTAATTTGCCTATTGTTCTCCATGTGTGAGATCTTTGTCCAACAACCCATGAATTGACATAATGCTGGAAGAACTGAAGTATAATCAATATCCCCATTCCTTCTACAAAAGAAATCAGAAGATCCAAGGAAGTTGTAACTAAATAAGAGAATCACTCACAAGATCATACCTATAGTGGCAAAAGGGACCTCAGACGCCTTTTAGTGTAGGGCCCCTCAATTTACAGATAAGGAAATGGGCCCAGGAAATGGTTGAGATGACTTGCCCATGGTCACAAACATAACAAGTGGCAGAGCCAGAATTTGAACCCAGGTTCTTTTATTCTAGCTGCAATGCTCATTCTTTTGTGCTACAATGCCCCTCCCAAGTTAGTTGTACTTTGGAAGAAGTCTTAAAGGAAAAAAAAATGAAGAGGGTATTGAAAAGAGAAGTGCTTGATCAAACTGAGGTGATCTCCCATGGCCCACACTCTGTTATCTTAATTAATAATCTTAATAATAATATTCTTAATCCTAGGTGGAGACATGCCATAGTTCAGACTACAGATTAAGTAGTTAATTGGAGAATACCTCGATTTAGCTTAGGGACTCCCCTGATTCACCTGCATTAGAGTTTAGACTACTATAAAGGTAATGATTTTTCAAGACATATGGAAAGAATGGAAGATGTCAAATGATGAAGAAAAATAATAGATATTGCAAAAAAAAGCAATCAAAGAGGTAGCAATAATTAGTGCTCTATGTGTCTACTTTTTCATCTTTACAAAATTTTTGGTAGGAAAATCAGACCTATGCTGACCAAGGGTATCAATGAAAATACAAGAAACACATCAGTGAGCAAGGGGTCCAATTCATAACATTATGAGAGTTAAAATTGGAAGGCACCATAGATATTCATAGGGATGTTTAGTCTAATGCCCCAATTTTGAAGATAAGGAAACTGATCTCTTGCTAGGGGAAATGATTTGCCTGGGGTCCCATAGCTAACAAGTAACAGAGCTAGCATATGATCCTAGCTCCTTTGACATAAAATCCAATGCTCTTTCTACTTTACTATGTTTGTTTTAGGTTCCATAAGAGGAAAGAAAGAGGATTGAACAGGAAGTGAGCTCATGACCGAGAAGTGGATAAGAGGATGGCTACACCATTTCTCCCCAGGCAGGTTTTGTAGCCCAAGTTAGTAGAGAAGGAGTCAGTGTTAGAAGGACACTGAATGGTCCTAGCTGAACTAATATTCTTCTCACATGTGATCCATGATCCTAATGTCTTCTCTGACATGATCTGAAAAACCCTCCATTAGCTCAAAGGAGTTTGTGTTTAGACAATAGTTAAGTATGGAGGAATGGGAAGGATATGGGATGGGGAGTCAGGGCACCTGAGTTAGAGTTCTAACCTCACGGATTCTCTGTTTGACTTTGGGCAAGTCATTTCCTCTTTATACGTCTCAGTTTCTCCATCTATATGATGAGAAGGTCAGACTAAATGATCTCTAAGGCCCCTTCTATCTCTAGCATTCCATAGAATCAAGAATATTCTCCCTGGAAGGTTATTATTGAAGTTCACAAGTTTCCTAGAAAGGAAAGGATGTGGATAGTGGGTTTCTTCTTGTTTTCTTCCATCCCTAAATATGAGTTTATCAAGTTTATCATTATTGGCCTGGAAGGTATAGGATAACTGGTTCCTGAGGAAGAGTACTCACTCATGTAAGAGGAACATGATCATACTTTGATAAGGAGGGCAAGTCCTAGACATTTGCCATGGAAGAAAAGGGTTGAGCCAAAGGGAAGGGCCCTACAGGCACCCATGGGTAGTTCAGGATACACTCAGATGCCCCGTTGCTATGGATGAGACTCACCATGGTCAGTAGGGTGTCATTCTACCCCAACTTGGGGTAGTTCTGCAATTTGTAATAGAGAGAAGGATCTTTAATTGGGCCTGGCCAGCTAACCTTGCCTGGGCATTGGACACAGGCATGCTGACTGAAGACTGGTACCCAGTTTATTGAGCATTTCACGTTTGAGGCCATGTGTGTAAAATTCCTTTCTGATTAGTAGACCCATCCTCAAGGTCTCACCTTCCCCAATGTATCATAAGGGACCTCAAACCTTATTTGGGCACTTGGATGGTGGTGACTGGATGATGCTGGTGGCTGCTTTTGACCTGAAGGAAGAAGCCAACTTGGGCCCTAGAGATGTGGTTCTTTAGCTAAGAAGCAAAGTCCCCTAGGAATAATGTCTAAACCTGACCGCTTCTTGGAGTCATGCCAACCTTCCGCTTTCTCTGTTCTCCACTTGAGAAGCCGACCTATTGTTCAGTTGTTTAGTAGTGTCTGACTCTTCTTGACCCCATGGGCCATAGTATGACTGTTCATGGAGTTTTCTGGGTAAAGATACTGGAGTGGTTTGCCATTTTTTTCTCTAGTGGATCATCTTTGGTCAGAACTCTCCACTATGACCTGTCTGTCTTGGGTAACCCTGCACAGCATAGCTCACAGTTTCATTGAGCTTTGCAAGCCCCTCTGCTACAACAAGGCAGTGATCTGAGAGGGGAAGCTGGACAGGGGGAGACTGAATTGAGATATGGAAGCCGAGGATTGCCTAGGACTGACTGAGACTGCACACGGTGGTCCATGACCATCTGCAACTGGTTGTAACTAACCGTGATTGTGAATGATGTCTCAAGATGACATATGACTGCCCATTATTAACCCTCATTTCCTGTGACTGCCTCGTGACTACCTATGATGAACAGTCTGTGACTGCCTGAATCTATCCCTTGACTATCATTGCCTATGACTGCCTTTGACCTCCCGTAACTGCCTCTGACTACGGCTACCTTGGACCACTTGTGAGTACCCATAACAGCCTGTGACTATTCTGGACAGCCCATGTCTAACCCTAATTACTGATGACAGCTTACGGTGGCCAGCTGGGAGTAAGAATAATCTTCTGGCTCATTTGTCTCTGTAGGTTCTCAGTTGTTTCTTATCTGGGCCCTGACTTGCTTTCCCTCCTGCTGACTTCAGCCTGCCCCATCTCCTTCACCCCTAAGGCATCTGTCAGTCTCTGAGACCTTGCTTGGGCTCAGTGCCTATCGAGGGCTGCTCTTGCTGGCGGTCAAGAATTTTGCAAAGCTTCGAGTCCCCAGGGGAAGTGGGGACAGCTGGGAGTCATCTGGCTGACCTGGTTTCATAGAAGACGCGTTTACCTTCCGCATGATAAGAGAAGAACAGAAGAATCTTCTTTTCCATTTATTCCCTTCATAAAAACAAAACAATTCCTCTCTGTGAATACAGCTCATCTTTCTATAACATTTTTATATCCCAGATTTTTAAGTAACAGGGATCTAGGTGCTTTGGAAGGAGTCTTAGATATCGAGCCACTGACTTCCTGTTCAACCTTGCCTTTTCCAAACCTCAGTTTGTTCTTGTTTAAAATGGGTATAATCATATCTGCAATAATTACTCCTCAGGGCTGTTTTGAAGATCAAATGATAGGAGGGATATAAATAACTTTGTAAAACATAAAATTATATGTAAATGTGAGCTATTTTTTGTATCTATGCAAGGTTTAGGCTTCCCAAAGTGCTTTTCCATTAATCTTCTCCAATTCTCACAACAGCCATGTGAGAGGCAGAGCAGGGACTAATAACTTTGACACTCGGCATTTGAGAATGTCAGAAAATTAGAGCTTGAAAGGACTGCATTAGAAATCATCTAGGCCAACTCTCTCATCTTACAGATGGGGACACTGAGGCCCATAGATAGCAACTGACATGCTCCAAATTATACAAGCTATGGTAGAACTGGAACTTAGATCCAGGTTTTCTGACTCTTCCTTGACATGTTACAGATAAAGAAATTGTGGTCTAGAAAGATCTGGGCCATAGCTCAAGGTGACAAAGTAAGTCCGGGGCAAAGGTGGAATCTGAACCCAGGTGTGTTGAACTCCTGAGCAGGCATCTTTCTACCAAGCCGTATTCCACCATAAATACAGAATTTTAGGTTCGTTTCTCAGTCAACTCTGTTGGCAAGGTCATGAGTTGATAGTGCTTAGAGAGGAAAGGCAGTATTGTGAATAGAATGCTGGCTTTGGAGTCTGGAAGACTGGCTTTAATTCTGCTTTGAATGCTAGCAGTGGAACCCAGAGCAAGTCATTTCATCTTATTCAATCTCACTTTCCTCATCTGTGAAATGAAGGAGTTGGGCTAATGAGTGAGCATGAGGCAGTAGCATGAATGCTGATAGAGACTTTGAGAAACAGGGTTCATTCCCACTTCTGGCACTTATTGTAACTTTTGTGTTCTTGGGAAAGCTGCTTTGGAAATCTTAGAAAATAATTGCCAAAGGTCTAGGCTCTTTTTAAATATTATGGCTATAGGCAGTGTTTGTGTGTGTGTGTGTGTGTGTGTGTGTGTGTGTGTGTGTGTGTGTGGTGGGAGGGCAACAAGGGAAGAGAGAGACTGATGCCTCCTTAGGGAGCAGTTGCCATTTTTCAGCTCCCTCTAAGGCTTCAACTTGGCATGGTTTCTTGGTGGCCCAAGAATAAAAACTTAGCGCATGAAGAGGCTGGCATGCCTCAGGTTTGACCCATGTTTCTTGACCTGGTGTGCAACCATGGCAAATGGGAAGGCAATCAGAGGCCCAGTGGAATCAATGCTGCATTTTTGCCAAATGCCCTTTCTATGCTATTGTTAAGTAACACTTCTTTCATTAGATGTTAAGTGGTCTGTGAGTGTTTCATTTCCTTTGCCCCACGGTTTAATTTACTTACCTTCAGGACTGTGGTACCATAGTGTTTCACTATCTCATACGGTCATTAATGCAAACCTATGCGATATCTTGCCTATTATCATTCTGTCCATCTTTGTAAAGGAGTCATGGAAGCTCAAAGAGTTTAAAAGATATATCTCAGTTCACACAGGTGGTAAGTGGAAGGGATGTGACACATGATTGTTGATCCAGGCACCCTGAGAGAATGGAAATAGCTCAAGCGGTGTCACCTTCCCCCCATACATTATCTTCTATTTTGTATACATTTATGTCTACCTGCCTGCATGCTGTGTCCCTCAGAACTTTCTCATTTTCATCTTTGAATTCCTAGTCATTAGCACAGAGCCAGACACTTAGTAGGCACCTAATAAATGATTGATGATTGATATTTACATTTGCATGTAAGGTTGTTTTTTGTGGCTTCTGACTTCATTATCAGTGAAAACCATCATTTCGTGCATTTCACTTCCTCTGGTAGCACACCAACCTTTTGTCTGTGGACAGAGATCTGATATTTTAAGAAACAAAAATTAAATTAATGTTTGTGAATTATGTAAAAAGCGTGATTCTTAGTATCCTCTCCCTCATTTTCTGCCATTCTGTAGAATGCAGAAGGGAGTCACACAAGGCTAAGGACTCTTTCATTTAAACATGTTTTTCATGGGTTTCCATGGCCCAAGAATTCATTATCTTGTGGCCAACCTGCTGTGCTTTTCCACTTAGCTAGGTAGGTCATGAGCCAGAGTGTCTGTTGCCTTGACTACATTGGAAGCCTTCCCAGCTTGGTAGAAACTCTGAGAGCTTTCACAGCTGACATTATCTTCAAGAACTAAGTAATGTCTGTTAACAATCATTTATTAAGTGCTTACTATGTGCCGGGCTCTGTGCTAAGCACTGGGGATACAAAAAAAGGCAAAACCACAGTCCCTCCTCTCAAGGATCTCACATTTTCATAGAGCAGGACATATCCTTTGAATAACTGCTAAAACAATCTTCCTAAAACATAGCTCCAACTACTTAACTCCTTCGTCAAAAAGCCTTTGGTAGCTCTTAATTAACCATGGGATAAAACAAACACCTGTCAGATTGGCATTTGAAGCTTACTATAACCTCTGTTTCCTGACAATGCAGCCACCTCCACCTTCATGCATTGTATATTTCAGACAAAATGCACTGTACTTTTCCCATGAAATGTTAGCAGACATTGTCTGGCTGGCTTCCATTTTGGTGCGGCCCCAAAGGCTACCATCCCATGACCAAAATCCAAGTCTTCTTTATCTCTGCCTGTTGAGATAATCATCTTTTTTTGAAGTCTAGCTCAGGTGCTGCCTCTTCCTAATTCCCTTAGCTGAAAATTCTCTCCTCTTCAAATTTTCCTACAGTACTTTGTCTATGTCTTATTCTTGTTGCTATAACTCTTTCTTGTGACATATTTATCCACTTATAATTTGTACCTACTCCTCTCTTTCCCTCTCCCATTAGAATATAACCTTCTTAAGGGAAGGAACTATGTTCACCAGTGCTCAGTACAGTGTCATACATTTTATTTTGTCCAGATGTGATTCCATAGGTGAAACTTCATTGCAGAAAGTCCTTTCACCAATGCTGAACAGCAACACATTTATAGTCTTGAGAAGTCTTAGGGCATGGAAGATTACGTTACTTGCCTATGGTCACATAGCTAATATGTGTTAGAGATAGGAACTGAAGCCAAGTTTTCCTGACTCCAAAGCCATCTGTCTATCCACTATACTCTGGCTGCCTTTCACCTTGCCTTGTAGTAACTACTTCATGTTTATTGCATGGGATTAAGTTAAACTGGAGAAAGGTGACAAATTTGGAAAACAAAATGGAATCTATTTGTGGATAAACAAGTGAAACTTTCTTTAATGTTTGCGAAAGTGATGTGCCCAAGATCCAACGTTCTCTGGTAAAAGTTATAGTAATATGAGTCCAATTTGTAATTGGTGGAACAGCAGTTTAACCTGGCAGTATCTAGGCGTCCAAGAATTCTAGAGGAGTGTGTGTGTGTGTGTGTGTGTATATGTGTGTGTGTGTGTGTGTGTGTGTGTGTGTGTGTGCGCGCGTACGCATGCGTGTGTATTTTAATAGTGACAGTGGGAAGTTCTCCTGACTTACTACTGGCCCTGAAGAAATCATTAGAAAGCAGATCTTGGTGCTTGGAGATTTCTCAGCAGACACACCGTTTGTTTCTGCTTAAACTTGAATGTGCTACTCAAAAGACTCTCAGATTCCTGGAACTTCATGTCTGAAGGCCCCATATTCCAGGCTCAGACACTGTTCATTGCCTTGGAGGGTGGAGGGCTGTAGAAGTCACTTTCCCGAATGGTAACTGAGGAGGTTCCTCAGACTGAGAAAGGCAGAAGAACTACATCTGTGCAAATGCTGGGGCTCTGTGGAGGCTCCTGTCACTGTCTCCCAAACCACTTCCAGAAGGTCATAGCCATGTGTCTTACCCGGAGGAGGAAGAGAAGGAGCCAGGCTCGGAATTCCTCCAGGGCTTTGGAACCCAGCTTGGCCTGACCACAATAGAGGCTCAGGGCTAGGCCAAGCAGGATGCAAAGGCAGAGGCACAGGAAGAGAGGGCATCCAGATGACCACCTGTCCGGAGCTGCAGATACAGTAGGAGGAAACAGCAACAGAATGGGGTTAGTGTTGGTCCATTGGCAGGCATCCCCTCACCATGCTTGGGGGCAAGCAGGATAAGAACAGAACCTGGAAAGGGAGGCCAAAGGTTTTCTCTAGGCATGAGGTATGGTTCTACCTTTCTCCTCACCCCAAATCCTGCATATGCTCACAGGAGTTGTTTTTTTAAAAAATAAATCCTTACTCAAAAGTCCTTGACCTCATTAGAAGTCTCCAAGTATAGGCTTGTGTCCACTTGACAGATGTATTATAGTGAGGATTCTTTTTCTGGTACTGGTTAGACTTGATGGTCCCTGAAGCCCCACCTAACTGGAAAATCTGTGATGCTGTGGTCTATGACACTGACTCACCCTAAAAGAAACTTATAGTCTGATTAGAGGAGATAGAACATGGATAGAAATAACCACCATATGAGAAAGAATGTGTAAAGGTGTGGTCGACTGAGTCCATCTATCACATCACCCTCTCTTAAAGTAACCAACAAAATGCTTTGCCTTGATAACTTTGTCAGGTGAGAGCAATCAATCAATAAATCATAGGCATGAACAAGGTGTTGACACCTCTATTAAATCAATAAATCAAAGTGTGAGAAGTCCTTGATCAATATAGAAGACCTTGAAAGCCACTATATGAAAGGGAGTGAGTTGCAACAAGATGTATATTGGTATTGGCTGAGAAGATGTGGTCACGCCCTGGAGGCTGTTTTTAAAATAGGAAGCCAATTCAGGAATGGGGACAAAAACTCTGGCAATCTTCACAAGGGGGAGCCTCCAGCCAAGCCCCAGAAAATAAATTGCTTGGAGGAGAGGAGAAGAGCCCCTATATTTGGACTCTTGAACTTTGGAGGAAATGGCCAATTAAGTTCCTTGCTCATGGGTATGTAGCTAGCATGTATTACAGGTAGAACTTGGAGCTAAGTCTTCATGACTCCAAGGCTACCTCTTTATCCACTACACCCTGGCTGCCTTTCACCTTGCATCCTGGCCATGGTTCTGAACAGCAGCCCCTAGCTACTGGGTCTGTGTTGGCAGTTGAAGACAAACAAGACACACCAATGAAATGAATCAGTAAGACTCCAACAAGGAGCCTAGCAGAAAAGCTACATAACACGCTAAAAGGGAACTTCATGAAAGGGAGAAAAGGACTTTCAGGAACTGGAAGCTGGTTAGTTACCACTTTGCTACCTATATACTCTAAGCACGCACCCACTTTCCCCTGGATTCTCTGTGCATTTGTGGGAGTGTGTCACAGACTCTGAGGGGATTAGGAGCAGCTTTGCTGATTTGATAGTCTGAGCTGGGATTGGGAAAATCACTCCTGAGTATATGCTTCAAAAAGCAAAGGAGAGCCAGACAAAGTGGAATGAGAAATCTGTGTCCCTGACACAGGCTCTGTGCATTTGGGGTGGGATAGGGTTGGTAAGTGTTAGGAAAGCTTTTTAGAGAGAAGGCATCTGAATTGGCTTTTGAAGGAAGGGAGGGAATTCAATAGATATAGATGGTGGGGGGAGTCTGTGGAGTTCTAAACCCAATCCTTGAGAGGCAGGGGCAAACATAAGTGGTAGTGAAACATACCCAGGAGAGGGAAACTGAATGGCCAAGTAGTGGGAATTCCTGGGCCCAGTTTAAAGGAGAAGGGGAGTCCCTGGTCAATGCCAGCCTCTTGGAGAGAGAAGTGGATCAAACATGTGGCCCCCACAGCTTGAAGAGTGGCAAAGAACTATATAATCTATGACAGTAGAGAGTAAAAAACTCTGGTTCTGTACGTTTTTTGGATACTGCAAGTCTCTAGAAACCCCAAGTACATTTCTCTTCTGGGGGAGTTCAAGCCTATAGGTTGGATATTTTCATAGGTCTCTGTGGCAAAAGTAAGATTCAACAAAATGCTCTGGGGTGGTTTCCCTAGCAATCTCAAGTTATCACCAGTGCACAGTGACTGGTGCACAGTAGGTGTTCAATAAATGCTTGATGAATTAACTTCCTTACTCTGTGAAGGCCAAACCACAGGGCAGTACTATGAGTCGGAGTATAGATGGGAGACTACAAAGGTCTTGGTGAAAGGTGGGATTCACCAGAAAGAGAAGAGAATTGTATTTACCATTATGGGTTACAGTGAGTTATGTGTTTCTGCATTTTCTGTAAGGTATAGAAAAGGCTGTGTGTTTTTTTTTTAATCCAATATACGCATATTATCTTGAATGCTTGCACTGGGTGTCCTTTAATTCACATTTTCAGAGACCTAGGTGCAGAGCTGTATTTTGAGACTTTCTTCAGGGAATTGCTAAGCGGCTTAGTGGATAGAACACTAAGCCTGGAATTAGGAAGTTAGTTCAAATCCAGTCTCAGACACTTCCTAGCGGCGTTCCCCTGGACAAATCACTTAACCTCTGTTTATTATTACCTTTATCCTCTGAAGGAGGAAATGGCAAACTACTCTAGTATCTTTGCCAAGAAAACCCCATGGACAGTATTGGTATACTGTGGTCCACGGGGTCATGACTGAACGATGGCACTTCCAGGGAACTCTGGGTGGGGGCAACTCAAGCCAAAGAGAAGGATCTTCTTGGAACTCCTTCCAAGCTTGAACTTGGTCTTGTATCCCTAACACCTAGTAAAGGGTTTAGCAATTCACAATTGCTTAACAAATGTTTGCAGAATTGAATGGAAAGGTGGATTTTGATTTGATGTCAGGAAAACTTCCTCAAAATGAGACCCATCTGAAAGTGAATGCTACTTATTAGGGATGTTGCAGAGGGATTGCCTATGGGCTGGACTAAGAAGGCAAGGGCAGTTAGGTGGTACAGTGGATAGAGTGCTGTGTCTTGGAATCAGGAAGACCCAAGTTTAAGTCTGTCCTCAGACACTTACTAGCTATGTGATCCTGTGCAAGTCACTGAACCTCTATTTGCCTCAGTTTCCCCAATTGTAAAATGAGGATAATAATAGTACCTACCTCGAAGGGCTGTTGTAAGGATCAAATAAGATGCTATTTGTAAAATGCTTGGCAAAATGCCTGATACATAGTAGATGCCATATAAATGCTTATTTCCTCCCTTTCTACCTCTTTTTGAATTCTTTGAGATTCTAAGGGGCTGATTCTGTGACATTTCTCCTGAGCTACAAATTGTCCTGTCTTAAGGATTATCATGGGTAAAGCTTGTCTTCTCATTCACTGGAAATATGTGGGCACAGCCTGTGTCTTGATGAATAGAAAAGATTCAAATACTTCTTGTATTTGCTGTAGATGGGATGTTTTTATCCTGCTACTTCTTGCATGACCTTGACTTTTCCACTCTAGACCTCATCTAGGAAGCAAGGGGATTGGATGAGATGGTCTCTGAGCTCCTTTCTTCTAGAATGCCTAAAATTCTCTCCTCTTTCTCTCCTGTCTCTCATATACAGATCTGAGTGAGGATGACCTGGTGGGGTGGGAAGGTGGGGGAAGCCCTAGCTCTTGGTCTCCTGAGCAATGTGGGAGCAAGGGGCAGGGTAGAGAGTCACAAGATTTCCTCTGAGCTTCTTCTCCAACCCCAGTCTGGGTTCATTGTATCTGGGGAGCAGTGCGTTCCTCTTCAAAGCTGGCTCCAGGACAAGGCCAGTCAGGTAGGGAATAGCACTAGGTAGTACTCGGCACTTACCTACAATGGTGTCCACACAGGATATGTCTAGGAATTCAAACAGAAAACAGGAGTGTTAACCCATGTCCTACAACTGGGGAAAGGTGGGATGGGGCAGTAGCATGTTGGAGGCAAAACAAATACTTGATCTGGAGAGAAACTGGATTGGAATCCCAGCTCTGTGACTTGAGGAAGGTTACCTCTCTGAACACCCCTTTCTTTACATGAAAGATGAGGGGGCTGGTTTAGATGATTTCTTATGTCTCTTTATTCCTAGATCCTATGATCCTAACAATAACTATTCTTGTTAAAGTATTTTGATCTTTACAAAAAAAACCACACACTTTTCTCACAATGACCCTGTGAGGTAGAGATTGCGAATGTTAGTCCTCTTTCATAGGTGAGAAAACTGAGTTGTTGATGTGATATGACTACCCCAAGGTCACATAGCTGACAAGTGACAGGTTGGGACTCAAATACCAATTGACTCTAAGACGAGAGGTCATTCCTATCATACTAGAGAGAATTATAATGGCAACATTAATAATGCAATACAATAAACATCTATTGAGCACCTATTTTATACATAAGATTGTGCTTAAGGCTGGGGAGAGGTAAAGTTTAGTCAGACACAGATCCTGCCTTCATAGCCTTAGAGTCTAGCAAGGAAATATGACACCATTAAAGACAATGATGATGAGAACTCACATTTTATATAACACCTGAAAGTTTTATAATGAAAGTGTTTTTCTCACAAAAAAACTTGTTAGGTAGATAATGCAGCAGTACTATGCCAATAGTAAATGTAAGCAGGAGTTCAGCAGGGAAAGTGTAAATTTGTCATTCTTGATCCCAGCCAGTCATGTGTGGTAGGAACATAACTAGGGAAAGTGTGGAAAAAAAGGGGAGGCCAACCCTTACTAATTTAGGGGCCAGGCATCCCCTTAAGGGAACTGAGTCTAAACAAATGAATGGATTCAGGGAGAAGGCAAGTGCCTCCAGCTCTGTGGTCCCAGTGGTGGTTCTTAATGTTACATGAAGATGGAGGAAATTAGGCTCTGAGAGGTTATATGACTTGTCCGTGATCACACATCAAATGCAGGTCTCCTCTCTCCAAATACAACCCCACAACCCACAGCTAACATTTATCTTGATGTGACAGGCACTGTGCTAAGAGCGTTACAATTATTATCTATTTGATCCCATAATAACCCTACGAGGTAGCTGCTATTATTACCCCTGTTTTACAGATGAGGAAACTGAGGCAAACAGGAATTAAGTGACTTGCCTAAGATGACACATCTAGTAAGTGGCTGAGGCCAGATTTGAACTCAGGTCTTCATGACACAAGGCATAGAGCTCTATATACTGTATCACCTCACTTCCTCAGTATAATATTTGTTACATGTTAAGTGCACTAAACTTGTAAAAATCCCTCTGGTAGGTATAGCACTTCATAATCTGCAAAAAGCTTTCCTCTCCATTCTCTCATTTGTTCCTCATAATAACCCATGGATCCTGGAAGAGGTCTCCACTTTACAGATGGAGAAACTGAAGTTCAGAGTTTAAGCTTAGGAAATGGGAAAGGTGGTTCTAGAACTCAGGTTCTTGACTCCCAGTTCTTGCATCTTTCTACTCCATTCCATTGGTTCTCACAAGTTGCTTGTCTGGGAAGCCTGTGGGTGCAGGGTTCTTGCCTCCTCATGTTGCCCTACACGTTGGCAGACTAGGCAAAGCCTCCCTGATCTGTTTTGATGTCCTAAATTACCCATGAGTAATTCATTGCCCTCTCTAGGCCGCTTTTCATCTGCACTATACCAGGGAGGCTTATTTTGAACTTTTATCAATCATTCACACCTCTGTGTAGGTGACTTTATAAGTGGCTTTCAGATGGCTGGTGTCAATATCCATTAGGGTGCAGGCTTTTGACCCAGTGGGAATAAGAGGAAGAGATAATTTTGGATCTTGCAGAACTCTCAGGAAGCTGGAGCTTAGTGGGGCCTGACACTGGGGGACTTGGGGAGGTGGGGCCGTGAGTAACCATTGGACTCTTCCCACTCTTACTTCAGTTCCCTGAATTCTCTCCTTCCTTCCCGGCCTTGTTCTATGCTCACCTCTTTCAGGGAGTGGAACAAGCATTTATTAAGAGCCGACTATGTGCCAGACATTTTTAAAATTATCTAGATGCTCATTTTACAGTTGAAGAAACTGAGGTAGATAGAGTTTAAGTACCTTGTCCAGGGTCACACAGCTAGAAGCGTTTGAGGCTGCATTTGAACTCTGCTCTTCCCGACTCAAGGTTCAATCCCTCCTAGCAACCTCATGGAAGTATTTCATGATTACTTTGGCCCATACTGATCTCCAAACTCCAGGTGTTACTCTCATTGGTCCCTTGGCAAAAGCTATGTGACATTGTTATTGCCTTTTCTTTTTCTTTTTTAATGTTATATTGTCTTTTTAAAACTTATTTTTAAACTTATTTTACTTATTTTCCCAATTTACTTATTATTTTTTTAACTTATTTTCCCAACTACATTTTAATCTGGTTCAGGCCCACTTAGGAGTTGGCCAAATGTTTGGTAGGCCAATGACGCTGACAGCTTTATTTTAGGTCTTTCCAAAGACAAAATGTAGTTTTTTTGCAGGCAATGTTTTATTGGTTTGCTTTGAACCCAATAGCACCCTTTCTCTAAAGAGCTTAAGGGACTTTGCGGACTTCATTGGGATTTTGAAAGCTGAATCCTTTTGAAATGTATTTAGGACCATTGTAATTTAACTGCATTGGCTAACAGTAGCAATGAGTTCAACCATAACACTCCAGGGCTCTGATGTAATGCATGTTGATAATGGGAAGTTCACATCCATCTATGACTCTCCTACAGTGAAGTCAAGCATAGAATTGTGCAATACCCAACATATGTTTGTTCAGTAATTAATTAAAATAGGTTTGAAAAATTAAAGAGATAGGAGGCAGGAAGACCAGTTGAGAGGTTATTATAAAAGTCTGGATAAGAGCTGATGAGAGTTTGAACTAAAATTGTAGAAATGAGAACAGAAAGGAGAGGGATGAATGTCTTAGACACTGATTGATGTAGCAAGTGGGAGAGTAAACGATGCAGAGTAAAATATTAGGAAAGAATAAGGAAGTTGGGGGTGGGTCATGGTGATTGGTTTGATTGGAATATGAGCTTGATTTCCCAGACTGTCCAGTTAATCAAAACAGCTCATACTTCACTAGGGCTGGAGAACTGCAAATGATCTTTCTTTTTTTTTTGGAATATAAACTTTATTTTGATTTCCAATGATGAACATCTGAATATATAAATAAAGGACTAAGAAGAGGAAAACAAGAAAAAAAAAAGCATGAAAGCAGAAACAAACAAGAGATTGTGAATAATTGGATGGGTTTATAAGCTCTTGAAGCCTCCTAGTCACTGACTATTAAAATCTGCATGTTGTCTTTAATTCACTTCTCTGTTTTCCCAGTCTTTTTTGAACTTTTTTTACTATGTGTATAAGATGAATTTGTTGTTCTCATTGTTGACTTTAACTATATAGTTGTCAATGTGTATATTATTCTTCTGGTTCTACTTTTTTGTGCTTATCTAACTCCATAGAAATCTTCTGATTTTTAAAAAATTGTTCACATTAATCATCCCTTATAACACACTACTTTTCCACTTGCATTCATATACTATAATTTGTTCAGCAATTCAGTAATGGATGGATAGCTAGCTTGTTTCTAGCATTTTTTTGCTATTATAAATAGTGCTGCTAGGAATATTTATGTACTTGTAACTCTTCCTGCCCTCCTGTCAATAATCACCCTATGTAATAGTTCCAGGAACGAAATCAATGGGTCAAAAGGGACACACATTTGTGTGTCATTGTTTTACTGCCTAATTTCATATTCTTTCCAAAAATGGACTATGAACCTGTGTTTCCAGCAGCAGTGAGAGTGTGTCTGTTTTACCTTAGCAAAGCTAGCTGTGGATTTTTGTGTCTTTTATTATCTTTGTCAATCTGATAAATTTCGGTAGGAGTTCAGAGTTTTTACATTTGCATTTCACTGAGAATTCAAGATTCTGGACATTTTTCATGCTGTAAATTTTTGTTTCACCCTTTGGAGAAGTTTTTTGGATACAACGACAATTTATCTATTGGAAAATGGCTCTTACTCTAAAACATCTTTATGAGTTTCTTACAATTTTTGAATGTTGGACTTTTATCAGAAAAGACTGATGCAAAATTACTTTCCTCCATTTGTGTTTCTTCCTGATTCTGGATACACTACTTTTCATTGTGCAAAGGAATTTTATTTTTATATAATAAAATTCATTTATTTTAGCTCTTAAAATTTCCCCCAGCTTATAATTTAAGAATTTAATTATTTTTATAGTTGTGAAAATATATAACATTCCCTTATTCTATAGCTTTTTTTTTAAAGTGATGTATGTTCATCTCTGTGTGTTTCATATTTAATTCACTGATCCATTCAGAATTTATTGTGCTTTATGGTATGAGATGTTGGTGTGGTCCCATTTTTTTTGATCAGACTGTGAACCCATTTCTTCAACATATTTAATTAATTTATAGCTAGCATTTATATAGGCACTTGAAACTTTGCAAAGCAATTTACGTACATTAACTCAGCTGATCCTCACAACAAACCTGGTGAAGTAGGTGTTATTATTATCCCCATTTTACAGATCAGGAAACTGAGGCTGAGAAAGGTTAAGTGAGTGGCCCAGGGTCTCACAACTAGGAAATGTCTTAGGCACAATTCAAACTTATGTCTTTCTGACCCCAATTTCAATGTGCCCTGCACTGTGTCACCTGGCTGCATTATTTAAATTAAGTCTGGATAATAGAAAATCAAGGTGAAGCAATTTTCAGTATTTAAAGGGTAGAAAAGAGATAAGAGCTCTGCTTAGCCTCAGAGGACAAAACTAAGAATGAGGGGCAGAAGGTGCAGAGATGTAGATTAAGTTTTGATGGGAGAAAGACTAGTGGGTTCCTTCTCATGAACTGACTATGAGCAAAGGTTG